CCCCCCCCCTGCTAGGTATTCTACGAGCTCCAGGACGGCTGGTATCACAGAAAGGACTGGCCGGTTCCGACCAGGATGGCTGAATGGGCTTGGTTGTTCGAAACCAACAGTGTAAGTACCTAGAAGGTAGTACAATAGTACAGTACAGCATTAAGAGCAGTATCAAGATTTGACAACTGAACAAACACCACCAATCCCTGCTAGATCCAGTCCTCATGCACCATTACCACTCCCACTCGGCTCCGGCCGCGTAGGACTCGTCTTCCCATCCTGGATCGGCAAGCTGCCCGAGCTTACGGCGTAACCCGTGGTGATCTTGATGTAATTCCGGCGACTCGGAGTGTCAGAGCCTGCCACCGAATGGATAGTTGCCGTGGCTGCTCCTCCAGTGCCACGGGACTTGTTGGAAAACTTGGACATGCCGAGCCGGGAGGATGACATTCTCGACTCGATGTTGTCAGCCCACATGAGCCCGCTCCGGAGCGAGTTCATCAGGGGCCAAAAGTAGACCAGACAGGTTGCCGAGACGGAGGCGAACTGGACGAGTTGCACGCTGAGATAGTATGGGAATGCTCGCAGGGTGAAGTCGGCTTCGAATAGGCGAGGGAGGTAGATGAGTTGGAAAACGGTCGGGATGATGACTCTGAGGGGGAAATTATATGTCAGTGAGAAAGAGCATCGAGTAGGGGTCAGGGGCTTGCCAATGACATACAATGCACGTGAAGCGAAGAACATGAGGACGGTCGCCCGGGACTTGAGGGATAAGTTGAGAGGATAGATCATGACCACCGGGAGAGCCACGAGAGCGGCGTCGGTCAGGATATTGGCGATGCTTTGATACTCCAAGAACGCACGCTGCCAAACTTGTAAGCCGCCAGCACATCAGAACATGGTAGACGCTTGCACCAGTGCAATAGGGGTACTCACCAAGTTAAAGCACTGCTCAGTCTTTGCAAGCCAAGGGAGCTGCCCCCCACACCGCAGAGCTGAGCCAAGGAGCGCTGAGAGCGTCCAGAGCACAACGACTGAGCCTAACAAATACACCATGCGTCTATGCATCCTGTCTGGAGAGAGGGTAAGGAGACATGCGCAGAGGGTGAGCTTGCCGCATCCGAGGCTGAGGATGAAGAGCAGATCGCCCGCGTACGCCGCCTTTCAGAGCACGTCAGCAAGAACATGCAGGGACTTGATGGAGGTTAAGGTAGGGACCTACACGCATTCCCGCTGTCAACTCGTCGGCTGATATGTCCGCAAGTGTTCTACCAAAGATCCCGCCTTCGGGGATGATGACCGTCACAGATTGCCCGAGACTCAAAAGCTTTCGCGCTCGCGCGTGTAAGTGTCTCTCTGACTTCAATGATGAAGGTACCTAAGGACTGAAGTGTGGCCGAGACATACATATGCAGACAAGGCCAAAGCCTCCTCAACGCCCAACACATTGTTTGAGCGCAGAAAGAACCTCGTGAGAAGCCGGAAACAGAACATCAGCGTGGTAAGTCCGAGTAGAAGCCATGTTGACATCTGAAGGATTGGGTTGAGGTTGGTCTCTGTCACGATATGTTCTCCTGGCTCAAAGAAGCCATCCTCGGCTGACGATCGGTTGATCAGGAACGCCATGTTGAAGGTGATGGTGGCAAGGACATTGCTCAGGAAGAGGGCAACACCTGAAGATGCGATTTTGTACAGACTATTTCCTGTGGCTTGGTGACGATGGTGGGCGAATTTAGGGGGATCAAGTGTCAGACTTCATTTTGACAGCCCAGTGATAAGGGGGTGTAAACGATCATGAAGCGGACCGGTTGCGAAGCAAGTTACCTAGGTAGGTCACCTCAGGTTTCAATCCAGACCTTCCTGTTGCATCTGCCGAGCCACGAGATATTCAACGGCTGTCTCATTACTACCCACCATACTGGTCGATAAGAGTTGAAGTGGACTAAATGTCGGATACAAAGAGCTTCGGGTAATCATCAGCTGCGAGCTGCTATGCCGCAACCCTCCAATATCGCCGCCATGCTGTGGTGTAACATGCTGCACCCGTGGTATAGGCTTCAATCCGGTTACCAATGCCTAAGCTGGAAAGCACCGCGACCCGCTGATTCGCTGCGAGTCGTCGATGCTTCCCATCTTCAGATCGGCCTGGCCGCTTTGAGATCAAGGGCTGGGACCTGGCTATTGCAGTGCTTCAGGCCTTCACACTGAGCTTCTGTTTCTCTGATTTATCCATTAGATGTCGAATGTGACCTGACATGTCCACTCAACTTCCACTCGCTTCTTTTTATTTCTGCATCTACCTTGCCTTAAGTACTGGTGGTTAGTTTCTAGTAGTAATTCCCACTTACACGCTCCTTTCACCAGCGGTTGGCCGCGGTCCATCCCCAGAGACAAACCATGTCCAAAGATCAGGTCGTGCCGTGGAACGCTACGACTTTGTCAGTGACGGCCATGGCAACTGAGAGCAAAGCCGAACCATCCAAGCTCGACTCGTTGAACGATGACGCCTACCTCCAACGACTGGGCAAACGGCCGGTCCTCAACCGCAGCTTTGGCTTCATGTCCATGTTGGGCTTCTCGTGCTCAGCTCTGCTGTCATGGGAAGGCGTGCTGGTCACCTCGGTGCCCGGGCTCTTGAACGGCGGCCCAGCGGGTGTGATATACGGGTTCCTGATCAGTTGGATCGGCACCATATCTGTCTACGCTGTGCTGGCAGAACTTGCTTCCATGGCCCCAACCACCGGCGGACAGTGTAGGTCACCCCCTTTCCATTACTGACGCTCTAAGTCTAAGAAGAGATGCTGATGCTTTCGTCAGATCACTGGGTGGGCATGCTGGCACCTAAGTCCTGCAGAAATTTCCTCGTCTACCTAACCGCCTGGCTTACAACCACGGCGTGGCAAGCTATCGCCGTTTCGACCGGATACATCACGGCGACCTTGCTACAGGGCATCGTTGTGCTAGCTCAGCCATCCTATGTCCCAGAACCCTGGCACACGGTGCTCATTCTGTGGGCGGCCATGCTGTTTGCCGTTATCATGAACTCGACCACGAGCCAAGCGCTGGCCAGATTCGAAGGCCTCATCCTCGTTCTCCACCTGGCGGGCTTCTTCGGGGTGCTGGTGCCGCTGGTGTACTTTGCGCCGCATAACGATGCGCAAACCGTCTTCACGTCGTTCATCAACGCCGGAGGCTGGTCGCCACAGGCCTTGTCCTTCCTCATTGGCTTCCCTACGGTAGCTACCTCCCTCGTGGGTGCGGACTGTGCCGTGCACATGTCGGAGGAGATCCAGTCGGCCGCTCTTGTTGTGCCCCGGGCACTGATGTTTACCATCTTTCTCAACGGCCTGTTTGCCTTTGGCATGATTATTGGTCTCATGTTCTGCCTGACCGATTTGGAATCGGCCCTGGGAGCGGCAACGACCATGTTCTACCCCTTTTTGCAGATCTTTTATTCGGCTGTTGGCTCGACCACGGGCGCCTGTCTCATGGCTGGGGTCATTCTAGTCTTGGCTGTTGCTAGCAGTGTGAGCGTCTATGCTTCGGCTTCACGCATGCTGTGGTCGTTCTCGCGCGATAAAGGCCTACCGTTTCACAGACAGCTTGTCAAGGTACGTGTCACTCCATGTCATGTTTTGTCAGTCTTGTCCTTTGCTTACAACCAGCAGCTTTCTCGCAATTCTCTCCCCGTCGTTGCCATTGTCACCACCTTGGTGATAACCATGCTGCTCTCGCTCATCGCCCTCGGATCGGCGGTAGCCCTTAGCGCTCTGCTGTCCCTGATCATTTCAGCATTGTATTCTTCCTATCTTTTGGTATGCTGTTTGCTTCTCTGGTGTCGTATTACTGGCAAGATCCAGTCTCACATCAGCGGCTCCGATGTTACAGAGCTTGGCTTTCTTACTTGGGGGGTATGGAGAATCCCTGAGCCGTTGGGGACTATGAACAACATCTTCGCAATCCTCTACACTGTTTTCCTCCTATTCTGGTCATTCTGGCCGCAGACCAACCCTACAACCCCTGAGACGGCGAATTGGAGCATCCTAGTCTTCGGCTCAGTGGTCATCTTCAGTATCTTCTGGTATATTGTGCGGGCTCGGCATCATTTCAAAGGTCCTATCAAGGAGGCTTGACCCCCTGAATCGGCCCCTGAATGTGGCGGAAAGAAGCTGCGAATCGGCCCCTCGAAGGCTGCAAGTCTTAATCAGCTATCTAGGCATGTAGAATACTACGTCTGTGAAGATATCGGTTGAATCCGATCAGTCTTCAGTCTGTCTTCACTATAGCTCGTATGGCACGTGGCACAAGATACCTAAAGTACCTACATGTAGCATCCATGCTGTCAACCATGCAGTTCACATCGCATAGTCACGAACAACTTCAGATGGTAGATTTCCACGGACTGGTATATGTTGATCTCGCACACCTACATCACATTAAGCGGCCTACACTCTGAGTCGTTGAGCGATCCACACGAGTAAGAAAGATCCACTCCAGTTTCACTGCAGCACGCCAATCTTTCACCACAAAGATGCCGCCTAGGACAGTCTTGATAATTCTTCCAAGTTGACACCTTTCCTTTCCGAGCTAGCCTGAAGTGCCTTAACGATCATTCATGATAACGTCGCCAGTTGAGTCTATCGTTGACGCCCCAACAGAGGCCTCCTCGGGTGGAAGCATAATCACAGCATTGTCTCCGCGAGGCGGATGCATGACGATGGTGTTTGACCCAACGATGGCATCGTTAACCTCATCGACCGGGGCCATCACCACGGTATTTTCACCACGGCTGTCTGGTAGGCATAAGCACATATCCGTACCCCAAGACCTGGAACTACGATTAGGATATGGGTACTTGGATGGGAAGGACTCACAAAGCTTGGCAGGGGCTGCCATAACCGCTGAGCCAAGAATGGCCAAGGCCAGAAGTTTGGAAAGCATGGCGGTGGCACGTAGACCGGTTTGGCCGAGGGGAAGATATGTGTAAGGTAATCTCTTTGCACCCAGGCGAGCAATGAGTGGCTTGAGTGGAAACGCTATTGTAAAACGTGACCGCGACTTGGAGCATCGGCCGGTCTTATATGTTACTTGTCCCTTCTATTAAACCTGCTCCGAAGGAGCGGCAAGAGGTCGTATGGGTGGTGTTCCCTTTCAAGTCCCGAACCTTGTCCCCTAACCGAAACACTTGGAACCATTTGTTTATGGGACGAAGGGTTGATGCCGTCTGGTAGGGAGCCCCATATGGCAACGATACGACACCGTTGGTGCTCCCCCGTCTTGGCTTGATCGTGGCTTCGATTCACCCGTCGAATACCTGCCAGAAAGGGAAATAATACGGCAGAACCCAGATGCGTGAGGCTGAATGGCTGGTGCGGTAACCGATCAAAGGGACACAGGAGAGACGTCTTCAATCCTACCACACCATACGGGCGCCCGACGAATGCAGAGATATCTGCCAGCGAGTAGCAGCGAGTCTCGTTGTTGACTGGAAGCAAGATACCTACCTAGGTACTCGGAACACCCTGTCTCCGAGTGGTCCAGTAGCTGTGCTACCTCAGGTTATGCCCATCCATGGTTCAACGGCCGATGCAATATATTCGCAGAGCGGTGTTGTTGCTCCTATCATCCGGCGATCGCTAAATTGACTCGGTGTGCAGCACTTGTTGCAACCCCTTTGTCTTGGCCAACAGCCCGCCTGGAGAAACGGGGTGAAAGACTAAACTCGGCTACCTCTGCGACCAGACTCACTGGGACATTGATATCAGTGAACGGATTTCCTCGAGAAACTCGCGTTGGGCTCCTAGCGTAGCAGCTTACCTTAGCCATGGACAAACGTCTGCATGACGACCCTGAAGAACGCCTGCTCGACGGCAGTGTTGAATTTCATGACTGCAACCAATGCCGTCAACGGCCAGACAATAGACGGGTGAGCGAGAATGCCATCAGACTTGCAATCGTCTCGTTGTTGGTCTACATCGCCGCAGTCTTGACCTTTCTGGTTGCTTCGAAGCAGCATGGCGGCCAACAAACCCCAAGCGACGCTCCCAGCTCGCACTCTGGTATGTTGCAGTGGTTGGAGACATATTGATTCGAGGTGAACTAAAAGCTAATAATCAAAAGTGCTGCCCAAGGATGTCGTGCAGTACGAAGATAGGCCCGAGTGGGAAGAGCTGAAGCACCCATGGAGCTTAGAGCCCTCAGATGAATTAGACATGGCCTGGAAAGACTTGCTCTATGGTAAGTGGGATTTTCCCTGTGGATGGATCCCGAGAGGGGAGCATATCATTGAAACGCAGCCCGCCTTGAAGCCATAAACATCCGCATCACACCCAGCGAACTAGACGAGCTCGGAGAGAACAAAACCAACCGCGTCCAGGTCAACGGCGGCGACTACGCCGGCGTACTCGGCGTATATCACCACCTGCATTGCCTCAACAATCTCCGCCGGCTCATCCACTGGGACTACTACGGGCCGCGACTTGCCAACACGAAGCACCCTGAGGGATTTGCCAAGGAGCATTCAAGTGCGTCTCCCATATGACACTGTGCCCGAGTCCATGACTGCACCAGTGATCCTGCTACTAACCGATGTCCCACCTAGACCACTGCATCGACGCCATGCGCCAGACGCTCCTATGCCACGCCAATACGGCTATTTACACGGTCGAGTATACGGGCAACCCCCGGTCGCCCGTCGGCAGGGACTTGAAGTCGCGCGCCGTAACAAAGTGCGTCAACTGGGATGCCCTCAACGGCTGGGCACGCCAGAGAGCACTTGTACCCGGGCAGTACTCGTATATCCTACGACCGACGAATCAAGCTGGCTGAGTACGGTACTGGTGTAATATGGAGTCCGTGAAAGGGAGAATGGTGTAAAAAGGGGTAACTAATATGTTATTGCCCCTTTTTCTTGTTGACCCATCAAGTCGTTTAGGCTCTTACTTATTGCTACTAGCACTGAGTACGCAACCTGCCCCGTAGCAGTTGATGATGGATCAGGGAAAATTGAGCGTGATCTCAGCTGGATTCGACGAATGAAGAGTACGAGTATGCCAGTCCCGGTACTGAGAATTGAAGTGTGTACTGGTACATAGGTACCTGATTCAGCTGATCTGGTGCTGGTGCTGTCAGTTACCCATAACCAGGCGCTTTCAATGCCGGTAGCATTCAGTAAGAGACGGATATACCAGGCTCACTGGACCCTCACTCGGTGCACACACGAGCAACCTAGACTGGACATGAAGCAGGTCCATCCAGACGTTATCAGTCAATATCATTACCCGGCTAATAGTATTAATGCATTATTACTCTGCATATACGTGGTTCTTTCTTTGCCGTGTCCGGACCGAGCTCACAAGATAGGTTCTTGAAGAAGGTAGGTTGAGGGCAGGGCCTACATGTACGCAGCGCAACTTCATAAGGGCTTTGCTTCCAATACGTAAGCCAGTCAGAACATTTCGCCGAATGCAATCTACCTTATCCTTACCGTGTTTGCTGCACTGCATCGGTTGATTCTACCCTTTCTGAATGGGACCAGACATTGGTCAAAGAGGTAGTAACAAGCTCCGATGCATGCACCATGCGATGGAACTTGAACCCTCCTCCGCCAGGGTCGTATCATATGCGAGAAGGGCCAACAGTCAGCTACTGCAAACAATTTAGATAACGGCGAAGCTTGATCCCTGAGCCAAGGCCCGTTGTGTTCTATGCTGCATGAGGGGAGAGCGCAATTTGGGCAACGGCTGACTCGACTCTACCCCTTCACACCGGGAATCGCAGTGGGTTTATCGACTTGCAGCAGGACATCTCGCTGCCGAATTGTAACTTCTCTAGCAGTAGCCCTTCTTTCCACGCCTATTCAGTCTCTTGACCGAACATCTACATAGGTAGTCCCGAATTTGAACGACTATTGATCATCAATGGATACGCTACCGGGTCCCGTAACCGGCGAAGTCGAGTTCGACGCTCCCGGCGCGGGCAAGCGCTGCAAGACGTGGTACAAGATCGTGGGCAGCCTAGAGTCCGCGTCATCCCCGCCGCTGATCGCCCTGCATGGCGGCCCCGGCGCCGGCCACGAGTACCTGTCGTCGCTCACCCATCTCTACGCAAAATACAGCATTCCCCTCATCTTCTACGACCAGATCGGCTGCGGGCACTCGACCCACTTGCAAGAGAAGCTGAACGACATGTCATTCTGGACCGTCGATCTGTTTGTGAAAGAACTGGACAACCTGATCGACCATCTGAAGCTGCGAGAGAAGGGCTTCTATCTCTTGGGCCAAAGCTGGGGTGGTATCCTCTGCGGTACCTACGCCTCGCGCCAACCCAAGGGACTGCGCAAAGCCATAATCTCGAGCGGGCCGGCGAGTTTGCCCCTCTATGTCCAGGGCGTGCAGAACCTCCTCGCCGAGTTGCCTCCCGATGTCCGTAGGACGTTGGAAGACTGCGATCGGCGTGGAGACCATGAGAGCGAGGAGTTTGAAAAGGCCTCGGCTGTCTTTTACAGTCGACACGTCTGCCGCCTCGATCCATACCCGGAAGATATCCAGGCTGCGTTCAAGAATCTCAAGGAGGATCCCACCGCGTATCTGACCATGTGAGTACAACATATGAACAACTTGCCTTCCATCGGTTTCATGTTGGCTGACATGCCATGGGCGTGCACAGGCAAGGACCGTCCGAGTTTGTCATTGTCGGATCTCTCAAAGACTGGGAGGGCTGGCAAGATGCGCACAACATCAGCGTGGAAACTCTGCTCGTCAATGGTCGCTACGACGAAGTCACAGACCTCTCCATGGCCCCATGGTTCAAGTGCATTCCCAAGGTCAAGTGGGTTACGTTTGCGAACTCCAGCCATATGCCTCACTATGAGGAGCGGGAGCGGTTCATCCAGGTCTGCGGTGACTTTCTCTCCGGAATGTAATTAAAGCCGTGATTTCAGTACGTACGAGTATGGAAGAGGCACATCCATGATATCTGCCCGACCAAAATGGGTACCTGATCCAGTCAGATGCTCTTCTCGACGATCTGATGGCAATGATCTGCTGTTGCAGTACTCGGTGCCTGCAGGCCAACATCAAGTCACAAACTCATCCGCCTGGACCCCAGAAATAGTCACTGACCTGCCCAATAAGGGGCCAATGATCCGTTTGTCATCAACCCTGGATTGACAGTCAGAACTGTCGATCAGCCGCAACGCCACGAAGGACCCGTCATCTTGGTGTAGTAGTTGTTAGTAAAAGGCACCCAATTTTTACTCGGCCTTTGGAACGAGAGCGACTTGATCTACGCTGAATCACCCATCATGGAGCAATGCACAGTGTATACACACGACTTCTTAGTGTCAAAAATATTCGACACGTACGTCAGACGGTGAAGACTGTCCGATGATTACGATGGCTGGCGGAGTATCTTAAGAGTTTGGGCGCATCGAGGATGTCACCGGTGCGACAGCCGCTGGGCATAAAAAGGGGAAGTTTGGCACTCGAGAGTCTTTGATCTTGCATAGCTCAGGAACCGGCTTCTTCTTCCTCGTTTCTACCTAAGGTACCTTGAGCATACAGCCCCTACTCTAGTAGTAAGTGGCACCAAACACACTCAAGGAACATGAACAGGGGGTTTCCCCGGTTGCTAGACAAACGATTAACAACAGCCTTTCTAACTAAGTAGCACCAACCCAACCGCCCTTCACCATGCGCTTTGCCAGTGTCCTCCCAGCTACGCTCGCCTTATTCCTCGCCGCCAACGGTGCGCTGGCTGCCCCTGGCGAGGAGGGTAGAACCCCCGGCGAGCAGGTTGCTGCTGCGGTTGAGCTAGTGGCGGCCAGATCCGAGGCAGGCGCGGAACCGCTCGAGAAGCGCCAGTGCAATGCCAACGGATGCAGGTGCGACAGCCGCGGCCGCCAGTTCCGGTCCTGCGGCAACTGCGTCTGGACAGACACGGGATCGTGGGTCATCACGGCCAAGCGCGACCTGACGCACGTCTACGAGTGCGCCCCTGACGGCGGCTGCTGTGACTATGGGTTTGCCAACGACTGTGGTGGGACGGATGCTAGATGCTACTTGCAGTGAGCAAACATGGGAGATTCTTGGGGGGTGATGGGGTTCTGTCTTTTTCGACCCTTGCAACATGGGAACATGAGACCGGACTGGATGGCTGGTACAATCTGCGGAAGGCGATGTACAACATGGAAGGGGATGTCGGGTGTCACTCATTGTTTATTAGTCCACGTACAATCTCTTATGGGCTGTGTAGGATGTACTACATACCAGGGAAGGGGAATCTCTACCATCACTGACAGCATTACAAGTCACCCTGACATTTCCTGACATTTAAGTCTGGTACAGGCGAACCGAAGGCAGCAGTAATGACAGACATTATATTAACATCATGGCCCACGGCGCGGGGGGGTGCCTAGCCGCGCTCATCATGCTCTACTGCAGATGGTGCCAGTGCTATTTCATCTAGCCTGCACCAGAGTGTAACATAAGATCAGGGAATTATAATGTTATGTTGGCAGTGATGGCAGAGGGCTCCTCTCTCACTGCTAGGTAAGCACCATTCCATGTCAGACCGTCAGACCAAGCTGCTTCAGTCATGAGCCACGTACGCCCCTATATCCGTCTTACACCCACGTGCGGCATGCAGTTGGAAACCAACCAACAACATGCGACAGCATTACTTACCCCGTATGATATTGACCGGGCGGAGTACCTAAGCTGAAGCGGCGCTTCCTATGGCATCCACAAGCCAGGTTTGTCGTGATCTTTAGACTCGAAGCTCACAAACCTCTCAGGATACCTTACCCACCCGCTATCAACCGCATTTCAGGACAGGCCATAGTCCATACAAGCCCCAGGCCTCAATCACAAGTCACAATGGGCGGGGGTCCAACGAGTCCATTCGACCTCCGCTCGCTGCTCACCCCTGAGTTCCTCGCATCTCTCGTCCGGGCCCGGTTGCCGTACGATCCGCGCACCCCGATGGACTTCTCCGAATTTGGGCGTTCCATCTTCCTCACCGACCCCATCAGCCCCTCCGTCAAAACCACCATCTGGCGCGTCCTTAAAAAGCTCAGCACCATCGGCCTGGAACACATGCCCGACCTGACCCTGTACCTCCCCGCGCCCACAGACCCGGCCTACCCAGAACAAACCCTCGGCCTGCTGCTACTCCTCGACCACTTCCCGCGGCTCATGTTCCGCGGCGTAGACCAGCGCTGGACCTACGGCTACTTCAGCCATCTCTCGCGACGGGTCGCACGGGCGTGGCATGCACTTCCCCCCGCGCAACGGCCAGACAGCTGGGCGCGATGGCAGCAGATGGGGGCAGGATTGGATTACTGGATTGCAGTGCGCTTTTGGATGGGCACCCCCTTTGTGCACTCGGAGCGGGCAGAGGACCAGGAGGTTGCACTGCTGTTTACCGAGGAGACGCGGGCCGCTGTGGAAATGGTGTCGGGCATGACGGATCCGTACCGTGCTGAGAGGGGCCAGATATTGGCAGATCTGTATGGTTTTCCGAGGGTGTACAAGGCTGGGCCGCCGCAGGGGGATGGGGTGACGAGGGAAGGGTGGACGTTTTGGATGGGCATGTTGATGGATGTGCATAAGCCGATGATTGATCGGTTTGGGAGGTATCCGTATTTGAATAGCATGCTAGCAAGAGAGGGGACGCCGGAGGAGGAGGTTTGGGTAGCAAAGACGGAGCATTTTGGGGAGGCCGATGAGGAGACGAAGAGGAGGATTCAGGAGGATGTGAAGCATGGCCGGTGGACGCCGCTTGGAGAAGGGTCACACGGTCAAAGGATTCATGTTCTGAGTTGAACGGGGACTGAATCACTTGCAGTTAAACTACTTCATTGGGACCCAAAGTTCTGGGGTTACAAGCATGGTAGATGTAGGTACTTTACTAGTCTACATGCTGGGACTTTGGAGGGAGGCCATTGATGCCAACTTGCTGGCTTATGCCTACACATATCTCCACCTCTCGTTCTCTGAGATGTATACCTACTTAGTAGGTACCTAGATAGCAGATGAACCATGCTCGGAGTTCTAATTATGTACCTAAGTCCTCCTACCTTTGACTGTGCAGGTTTCACGATACCCCTGAATATAATAAACACAGACTATCCCTTTTGCTGTGGGTCGCAAATCCATGACCCCTGTATCTGCCATTTTCACTAGAGGAATTTGCCCTAACCATCAGTAAACGGGCTAAGTTAATTACCCCTAGGCTGCTTCCAAGTGCCTTGACCCCCCCCCCCCCCCCCCCCTCCGGTACTTCCATCCCTGTGATAACCGGGTAGGAGGAGGTGCTGACAGCCTCGAACGACCCCCTACAGCTCCTCAGCAACCAATGCCGACTCCTCGTCTCCGCCGAAGGAGACCACCCACTTCCGTGCCGCCACTGGCCGCGGCCTCAGCTCAATCTGAAAATCATAATCCGGCTGCTCAACCGCCTCAGCCTGCGACGAGTTTGCTGCAGTAGACAGCACCCACTTCCCACCATCACCCACCCTTACAATGTCAAACCGCAACAGCAACATAGCCGTAAACAGCAGGATCTCAGTCGTCGCAAAGTGCCTGCCCGGACACAGCGTCGTGCCACCCCCAAAGCCGCGAAACGCATTCGGATTGGGCAGGGGCTCGCCGGGCTTGCGGATAAACCGGCGATGGTCAAACTCGTCCGCGTTGTCGCCCCATGCCTCCTTCGACCGATGCTGCACCCGCGCCGGCACCATGACCAGCCCGCCCTTCTTGAGCAGGTACTTGCCATCGAGCACATGGTTCTCACTCACCACGCGGACAGAGTTCACCATGCCATGGATGCGCAGCACCTCCTGAAAAGTCGACGCCAGCGTCGGACAACCCTCCTTGATCGCCGCGGCGCTAATCGTGCGCACCTCGTCTCCGTTTCCCTTTAGTAGTGTTTCAAGTGTCACCGTCCGCTCTACCTCCTCCCGACATTCCCGTAGGACGGTCGGGTCCGAAAAGACGTGGTAGATGGTCCAGAACGCCGTGGGGATAGTGTTGGCGACCAGGGCGAAGAGGTTACCGTTATGAAACCGCGCAACGTCGGCGGGGGTAATGCTCCAGCTGGCAAATTGCTCCGTCCATCGCTGGATGTACACGGAACCCTGCTTGTAGTGACCCGCATCGTGATATCGCAGGAAGGCGTTGGCCAGCCTGTTCCGTGCCGCGATGGCGCCGCCAAAGACCCATTGCGGCAGCAGGTTTACGGTCAGAAACATGATGGCAGGGTGATATTTCCTGTTTTCGTGAGTTAGGGGGGAAGATGACTACGGGCGAGAGGAGGAACGGTGACTTACAGCCAGTCTGCTTCGTTGGCGGGATCCCGGAGAGGGTTGTGCGGGCCGTAGACGCTGTCGGTCGTAGCCATCATGATCTCGTGGCGGATCCATTCGTACATGTCGACCCTCTTGGACCCGTGAGCGGCGATTGAATCGAGTGATTTCGAGAGGGTCCCCAGTGCGTTGCGGCTCAGATTGTCGAGAGCGGGTCCCTTGGACAGGGCCGGATGGATGGCTTTGATAAAGGCGTGCATAAAGCCATTCTCGGTAACCATGTCCTCTCGGATGATGTTGACGGCTTCCTTGCTACCTCCCATGGCAACCTCTGACGCCCAAGCCGTGACGGGCGGGAAGAGGAGAGTGCGCCATTGCCGTTGCACGGCGGGGATGAGGCTGGTGGAGTTGACCATGTAAACCCGGAGGCCGGGGAGGCGCAGGGTGTAGGTGGGCAGGCTAGGGTACTTGTCTCTGTGTCGGGTAACGATTGGTATCAGGTTTGTGCGTGGCCACCGATAAGGGGGTTGGACATACCTCATGTAAACGTAGAAATCCAAGCTTCGTCTCACTATGCCGACGATCGGGCTCAGGAACGGGACCGCGGTTAACACAAGGGGCGGTTCGTTGGCATCCTGAGTAAACTGTAGCAGCGCCCAGAAGAAGACGTAGGTTGCGGCGAGCCCGCCGACAGTGGTTGCTAGGAGAGAGTGCTCGGCTGCAAAGCGGGAGACGACATTGTCGGCCACAAGCGGCCCTGCAGTGGTGTTTGAACCTTGAAGTGCTTGGACAATACCGGCGTAGTCCATGGTATACAGCATTTGAAAGAGCTGACGATTGTGCACGATTCACAGTGTCGGATTGCCGGATACATTGAGATTGAAGGCAGCCGATGCGGTACTCCGTACAGGAGGAAATGAAAACCGCTCGATAGAAGTAGCTGCCTGATCCCCTGCTCGAGCTGATCCTGGCTTAGCCTAGATCCTGCGATCCTTCTGCACGCTCGCTTCACCAACCGATGGGGATGACTCGATCGGGAGCCTCAGCCCTCTAATGATTCCACTAGATTTTCAGATGTACAATACATTACCATTGGCCATCTCCCTTCCATAGGTAATTACTGTATCGGAAGAATTAACATTCAACAACACGTCGACCTGGGAAAGAGGCGGCCGCTCCTCGGAGTCGTGTTCCACAACGGCATTGCACGAGCCCCAAGCCGATGGAGGCCATGGGGCCGTTGGACCAATTTGCAACCTCGCTTGGCAGTGACCATGGTCACACTCTTGTCGGTAGAATCTCAGCCCAGAGATACCAGGTGAGATTTTGTGTCGTTGGAACAAGCTTCGAGCTTTTCCGTTGTTCGAAATTTCAAGTGGGTACAATGGAGATCCAGTTGAGCAGCTGAAAGACAGGCCGACTGGCCGAGCCGGGCCGATACCGTGACACCGGGTAAATTCCGGCGGAAGGGCACCTTGCTGCCTGCCGCGCAAACCCTTACTAAGCTGGGTCAAGTCACCGCTCAGGGCAACCACGACCTCTCCACTAAAATGCATCACATAACCGGCCAAAGTTAGATGAGCAAGCTACAGTATGACAGAAGAAAAGCAAAGGAAGTAGCAGCACAGAATGTGTCCCCACAATGTCACAGCCCAATTCCCATTCCCCAGGTGACGGCTGCATTCACAAATCATACCAATCCTCAGAACCCGCAGCGTCAGCCTCATCCTCAGCTCAAACCCCAGATGCAACTGCGAGTTTAGCCCCGGACTACTCAAGTCTATACCCCGGCCTCCTGCCTGCACTCCCCGATGGAACGTCCCTCCAACCGCCAGACAAACCGCCCAGCAGCAACGCCGCAACGGGCGCATCAGCCGCTGGTGTGCGCGCCCTCACTTCGCAAGCAGTCGCCTTCTACTTCCGCGCACCCGTCAAGGCCTTCTTCCGCACGCGCGTCGACTACCTCGCGTATGCACGGGCCCTGCAAGAGCAGGAACTCAAATTCTTACAGCAGCAGCAGCGAGCCTTGACTCGGCCCACCTTATCATCATCATCGCCGGCCCCCTCTGCCGGCAATGGCATAACCACCAGGCTCAGCTGGTTGCGCGCCCGGCTGCGGGGTACCACTCCCGGCGTGCTAGCCTCGGCCGTGCGGCACTACGGCTGGCGCATTTTGCCCGATCAGGTGCTCCCGCCACTGGTGGCCAATGTGGGCGTCGGCGCCGTGCTGTACACGAGCTACCTGCAGGTGTTGGCGCGGCTGCATCCCGAGAGCGGGCGCGCCAGCAAGCGAGTGTATCCACCTCCGGGGCCGGCCGAGACCTTCGCCGCAGGCTTTTTCGCGGGGGCTGTACAAAGCGTCGTCGCCGCCCCGCTGGACGCTGTGCAGGCTAGATATGACTTCCTTGGCGGTAGTGTGGCGGGGATGAGGAAGGGGAGTGGGAATCCGGTTAAGACCGATGGGAATGGGCATGTGGTGGTGGAGAGGCCCAGGAGTGTCTGGGCTTTTACCGCCGAGAAGCTGAGGGAGATTGGGGTGAGGGGCGTGTTTGCCGGATGGGGACTGTCGTTCCTCAAGGACAGCATGGGCAGCGCCGTCTTCTTCAGCGTGTTCGAGTACCTCAAGGCGCAGGGGTACTACGGCTTCGTGAGGTGGTATTACGGGGCGCTCAACGAGGATACAATTCTGCTGTTATCACGGAAGCGGCCGGTGACTTCGGCGGAGGGCGCCGACGAGCCAAGACGAAGCATGCCGACCGTCATACGCCCGCACTACGCCATGGAACCGGCTTTCCTCCTTCTTGCTGGCATGGGCGCCTCCATCGCCCAGCAGGCCGTGCTTCACCCGCTATCCCACGTCCAGTCTGAGCATTGGGAGAGACTTGAAGGGCTCGACGCGCAGGCCCGAAAGATCAGACGGCATGTCAGGGCTGCAGATAGTGCACAGAGATCGATGTGGAGGTGGCGTATGCTCAGGGCGTACCGCGACGCCTACCGAATAACATGGTCTGAGTGCGTCGCAGAGGCCAAAGCCGCAGGCCTCACCATGCGCCAGTGGTTGTACCGTGGTTTTTGGTGGAACACGATCCGGCAAATCCCCTCTACTAGCGCAGGGCTCATCATATTTGAGCTGGTTAGAAGGAAGTACGGCCTCAATGATGATCAAGTGCGGATTAGTCGGGACGGCTACGACATTTTGTTGAATTAGAGGCGAGCAGCATGGCCTTAGCCTGGGGGCCGAAATTTGTCTTGAACTCTTGATCCTGCTCTCCACTCGGCCTCATCTGCTCCGTACAGGCACAACATTCAATCTCACTACTTCAATTGCTGCATGCGGACAGCATGCCAATCCCTGAGGGAGGTGACTCTTGTACAGTATACAGTAACAACTACCTACCTTACTTAAATAACAAAGCCGAGTCCAACACAGCCGAGTGTAACACAGCTGAGTTTAACACAGCCAAGTTTAACAAAGCCGAGTCTAACAAAGCCGAGTGTTATCGGGCCCTTTCTTTGGTCAACACGACAAGCGGACACAGTCAGATAGTTAGAACATTTAGACTGACATGTGACTCACTGCTGGCGTCCAATTGCCTACTTAAACCCCTTCACCTCGCCCTTTTGACATGCTCGTTCTCCACGAAGAAGACGAGGCCACTGGGGGAGACGCGCCACTGGAGAAGATGACGCCACTGGAGAGAAAAGAGACCCAGTAGCCAGTCCACCCAGCAGGCCACCAAGTCGAGTTCCGAGTCAGCGTGTTGCGTGGAGAGAGAGGGCTGACGGAATTCGACTTGGTGTTCTGCTGGGTGGAGTGGCTACTGGGTCTCTTTCTCTCCAGTGGCGTCATCTTCTCCAGTGGCCTCGTCTTCTCCAGTGACCTCGTCTTCTTCTTTTTTCACTGTGATCATGGCCTTGCGTTGTGACATGGAGAAGAAACCGTGCCTGGTTGCAGATTTTGGACTATAACCAACCGTCCGAGTATTAACCAAGACTTAAGACACCTATAAACACATAAGAACGCAATCTAGGAACTCAGGAAAACTCTCGCCGTAAATGGTCGACCAGACAGAACCGTTGCCCACCCAACTGGACCCCTTGGCCCCCTGTTGCTGTTACAAGAATGGATGCTACTGCGAGGAGCCGGTCGCCTTCCTGGGCGATATCTGCGACCCCTGCTGCGTGAAATGCCTGGGGTTAGGGGATTACTAGGTACCAGGTAGCGAACGGCTATGTCATTCTCAGGGGTGGTAAGTCGGCAAAACAAATGGTGCAACAGGTGCCAACGAATGCTATGTTGCAGACGGCCGAGCCGGATACATCCGGCTGGTTGGAGCCTGGACGGGGAACAGAGCATGAGGCCCCTGAATCAGGGGTAGGGTACGGTACCCCAATTGGCTGGGGTTGTCCTACATCAACTAACCAAACTACTGAGTTGTTGCACTTGCATCAAGTGCTCAAACTTGGACCGATAGGGGATAGGGCTAATGAATCCATGGACGACGTTGTGGCAGATGTTGCTTGTGTACCTAGGTAGTAGGTACCTATTTAAGCCGAATGCACTTCTAGAGAAGATTAGGGCTGCGGGTGAGACGGACCGGGCGTGTTCAATGTTCGTAGTGCCAGTGTTGGGCAAGGAACCCGGCTAAAACCCTGGAAAACCGCACACGTCTGCCCTATGGGCTTGCTGAGCGAAGTTTCCTGAGACACGAGTTGTCTGGATCTTGCAGTGCTCGGCCCTGCCAGTTACTAATGCGTTTCACACTAGGGTAGGTACTACCTACCTACCTACCTTTAACTACATGTATGGATTTATGAAAGAGTTAAACCTCTCCGAGTCGCTTGCTGACGATCGTTTGTATCACTATTGTGCTTTCTCAACCTCCAATGCTTAAATCAGCCAAGCTCTGCTGTTATGATGCCTTCTCAAAGCGAGCATCAACCATTTCTCCCTAAAGACGCCACGTCCAAGGAGTCGGATCTCGCGCATACGCATCGGTCGGCGCGTAGTGCTATTCTGTCCAACTCTCTCGTCTTCGTTTTCACTTCTCTGCTCTGGCTCATAGTGGTCACATTCGCGTTGCGTGCTTCCGAAAACAAGTCGGAGAGCACTGGCATTGATCATGGCCACCGACATAATGTAACAACCAACGCCAAACTCTTGACATGTGGCAACTCGACCGCAGAGGCGCGGGACCTGGGCTGCAAGTACGACGTTTTCCTCAACAACTGGGTGCCACCGCCATGCTACGATGAGGAATGGATTGCCGAGTACCTGGAAGATAACAGCTGGAGCGCCTATGCCGACGAGAATCTCACCCAGCAATTAGAACTCGAACAGATGGAGGATAGGGACTTTTACTATACGTCGTTCCGAGACCACATCAACCACTGCGCGACCATGTGGAATAAGCAATTCTGGGCGCTCTATGAGGAGCGGATGGCACTTGACACGGTCATTGTTAATCCTGCTCATACGGAGCATTGCGCCCAGTTCCTCAGGGATGCCTCGGAGGTGAATGCAAACCAAGCAACCAAGACAAATGTGGGCTTCGCGGGCTGTTGGATCCGAGCTAGGATCTACCAATAAATGTTAACTACCTACCTAACCTACTGTATCTTGTCCAGGCTGTATGGTATCTCTAGAACCTCAGACAACCCTCTTCCTAAACTGCACCTCGGGCCCTTTTCTCAGCGAAATATAGGCGTCCACCAGCTGGAACTGCCCTGGGTCACTGGCGCCCCACCCGAGTTTAGGACTGCCTCCCCCAAACGTAGACCCCGGGGCCCTCCTCACGTCCAGCCGGTGCAGCGTTCGTGCGACAGTAATCATGATCTCGGTCATGGCCAGATTTTTGCCAACACAGCTTCCCGGACCCCGTCAAGAAAGGGTGAAAGCCCGCTCGCATACGCGCGACTGTCTCTTTGGTCACGCCGGCAGACTCGTCGACGATCCATCGCTCCGGCCGGAACACCTCGGCATCCCCAAACACGTTGCTGTTGCGCGAGCTAACCCACGGTACCGTGGCCACGACGGTTCCTTCCGGATAGTACTCTCCCTTGATTAGAATGCCGCCGCGAAGCACCTCGCGCGGGAGCTCGCAGGGCCCGGACGGGGTGAGGCGCATTCCTTCGTCGATGAACGCTCTGAGGTACTCGCAGCCGAGCAGCTTTGGCCCGTGGACGATTTCGTCCGTCGAGGCGAACGTCGTGCGTATCTCGTCCACAAGCTTTTGCAGTCGGCGGGGATCGCCAGTGAGGTAAAAGAAGATGCCAGACAGACTGACGGCTGTGGTATCGAACCCGGCTATGATGAGGAGGCTGGACTCGGCTCGTAGGTCGTCCTCCTGGTAGACGGGCAACCCCGTATCGGGATCACGGGCGTTGGCCAGGAAGTAGAACATGTCCTGGCGCCGCTCGTGCTCGGGCAGGGACGCTTGTTTCTCCTGCAGGGCGATCCGGGAGGTAACGCTGCTATGGACAAAGTCGTTGTAGTGCCGGACGTTGGGCGGAGCGATAAGCTCAAAGAGCCGGTTGAGACCACGGGGCTTGAGCCAGACCAGGAGATTGAGAAATGGGGAGCGGCACATGGGATAGTAGAATTTCATGTACTCGGCAATGAAGTGCGGGACCGCCTTCAACGGGTTCTCTCCCGGCTCCTTGATGTCGAACGACCTACCAAAGCAAAGATCACCCATTATGTCGAAGACAAGTGTATCTAGCCTTTCCGATAGGTCGACGGGAGCGGTTCAGGCTCCTGTCTCCTCCTCTCCAATCAGGAGCTCGTTCCATCTGTCAACGTGTTTGATGATGAAGCTTGAGGCGGCACGGAGCGACTTCTCGGTGAAGCAGAGATTCAGCAGCTTGCGCCTGCCGGCATGCTCTGCAACGTCAATGGTATTTAATGTAGTGTTTTCGCGGCTGTTTCTCTTGAGGGCTGTATAGAAATGGCTCCTTCGCACATTGGACTTCATGCCGTAGATGTCGGCGTAGGCTTCGGGGTCACAGAACAGAACCGTGTTAGGGTTCGGGCGGATCCTATCGCCGTAGATCTGGAATTGCTGCCAAAGCCAGATGTGCCTCGTGCCGCGAATAGCATGTAGCCATGACGGAATACCACTTGCTCTTGCCCAGAAAGGTCCCGGAATGTGGGCTAAAGGGTGAAAGTAGAGATTGTAGATCGCCTTCGCGATAAGCTGAAGTAAGGCGCCCTTGTTAGTAGTAACTCTGCTGCTGTCCAGCGATTGGGATCAACTGGACGTACCAAGCTGAGGCCGAGCGCGGCGAGGGCAATGAGCCAATTGGTGAAATTCAGGGGCATATTCTCAACTCAGATCTCGTCTTGCGGGGGCGAAAAGTGAAATCGTGGACGGACGTGAGGCTTTACGGCAAAGATTCCTATACAACACACATGCAATGCAACACAGCACACATCCAACAGAGTGTGACATTCCACGCTTCATTCCAAAGCAAACTGGCAGGGCTCCGTCGGCCGCCACAGACATTTGCCTGGCTTATCCTGAGTCCCAGGGAAGTGTGCCTGGTTGCCGTTGGCCGTTCCCATACCGAATTTTCTAGATCAGATGCAGTCAGGAATTAAGCCCCTTTAGAGTTTAGACTCGGCATCGAACGGCACTATGCTACATGTCGAGGCCCTCATGTCCTTACCAGCCGAAGATTTGGTCAAAATTCACCAAGTCTAATGATACCTTCCAAGTTATTAAGGGCACCGTCAATCCCATCATCCGTTTTATAGGCTTCTTTCTACCCGACACGACCGACCTTGAGTCTGACCCGATCTATCCCAGCATGGACACGCAGGGTAGGACGCTGCTGTAGTCCATTGTGCGCCTACTCATCTGCTCCGAGGTGTTGTTTTCCCGGCACTCGGCCGCTGATTCGGCAAATATCCAACTTCCTGGCCGCTCAGAATTCCAATCAATCCATCCCTTCATCCGTGCAACAGCGTTATGATTGGAGAAGGGAAACTGTCGGTTACCGACTCAAAGCACAGCCTTGCCGTCCATCTTCCCCTCCCGTCCACCACGGAACTTTCTCTGCGCCTCCAGCACCAAAATAAGCTGCTGCGCCGTGCAGACCAGCTCCATCCTCTCGTTACAGATGGTGATGTCCAAGTCCATCCGGCCCGCTTCCAGCATCTTGGTCACAGTCCGCGTAAAGATCCACTCTAGACCCTGAGGCGGAAGCTTCCTCTTAAACTCAATGTCCAAAGTAACCGTGGCGTTGTACGTCTCCGCTTTGACCGCCTCGGCCAAGGAGGCGGTAACCTCAGCCGGCACACCAGGAAATTCCTCTTCCCAGCGTTCCAGCTTCTTAAGAAACCCGTGTGCATCGTACAACCCCCCATTGCGCATGAGCGTGTCCGACATGGACGGGATCACGTCCGTCATGAGCGCCAGGTAAGTCGCGTCCATGCGCTCGTGCTTGTGGGCGGGCGTGAAGCCGTACCAGGCGTCGTGGATGCCGTCGACGGGGAACCTTCCGCGCGGGTTGAGCACGAGCATGTGGCCCGTAAAGCCGAGGACCTCTCCCGACATGCGTGCGGTAAGCCAGTTCGGGTCAGGCCTGCGCGCGGAGACACACCCCCTGAAATCGGGGCTGGGTTTGGGCGCAGGGAGGAGTGTCCAGGCGGTCGGGACGGTCGGCCCGAGCACCTTGTCGAAGTTGGTGGATGTGGCAAGGGCAAGGACCTTGAGCTGGCCATTCTGCGAGAGCTGTAGTTGCAGGGTGCTGGTTGCGGCTCCAGTTCGAAGTACCGAAACCGTGATGGTGCTCTGGCTTCGCCCACATTGGCGGAGGAACTCGAGGTGCAGTTTTAGGATGTCGGGCTGGTTCCGCCTTGCTAGCTCGGGATCTGTTATGAGATGAGTTGTGGCCGTGTGGTGAATAGCTGCAGCCACACAACCTCCATGAAGCGCTGTGCGAGGTCAGCGCAGAGTCCCGAGCCCTGCCCAGACACAAGAACCGACAGAGTCAGTAAATGAAATTGGAAGCGTACTCGCACCAAGAGTCCAGTCGACATGCCAAGATACTGTATAAGTATTGGCTGATACTTGCTGGAGATCAATCTGCCGTTTCAGAATGCTCGCCATGTTCACGAGAAGACGAGACTGTAGAGAGGTAAGAGAAGTTGGAGAGCATGGTTACGGTAATATAGCATCGGCAGTGGTCAACGGTTGCCCGTTGGTTCCAAGAGTGGCCCCGCCGCCCCTGAATGCAATGCTCAAGCCAACAGGCATGTGGGGTGAGGTTCTCGCCGCCGAATCTGGCTGGGTGATGCCGCTAGAGTTGGCCCGTTGAGTGCATACGAACTCGAGCCAACGCGGTATTTTTAGGGGCCTCGACAGTGCAGGGCGCCGGGGCACAGCAGGTAACGTTATCGTACAGTACTATGAATGTATGTGCAGTTGCGGTACTCTATAGTACTTGTACTGAGCCAATCTTAGTAGCTGATGTAGATTACCTCACCGTCCTCGCGCGGGCTGTTGGCTCTCCAGCATCGAAAAGCGGCCCCCTCTTCCGTTCAAGTTGGCTCCTTCGGACGTTGATTTTTTAGAGCAACAACAAGATGAGATCATCCGATGGCATGCCGAAGGTATGAAATTTCATCATGGACAGCTATACGGTACCTAGAAACTGGCAAGGACCATGCCTTCCTTCATTCTGTCATCGGCATTATGTATGAAAGCTCCAGCGGTACTCTATAAAGCCAAAGAGAAAGGGGGAAAAAAAAAAGGAAAAAAAAAAAAAAAAAAAAAAAAAAAAAAAAAAAAAAAAAAAAAAAAAAAAAAAAAAAAAAAAAAAAAAAAAAAAAAAAAAAACGCTTTGGGACAGGATCATGAGCAGGGTAAAAGAGTGAGAACCACACACAAGAAAACGAAAAGAACAAGCCAAGCCGGGCCGGATAGATACTATCACCTTCCCCCATCCTACTCGCTACTAATCACAGGCAAATACAGCATCCTCCCTTCCCTTACAGACTCCGTCATGTACTGATAGAGCAATGGAGGAAGACCTTTTGCCTTGGCGGCATGAAGCCAATCACCAAGCGCCATCTTCGCAAACGGCCGCGCGTCATTCTCCTCCATGTACGCCTGCAATCCACCAGGCGAAATCTTGTCCTTGCCACAGTGATGCACGAACCTGACCGGAGACGCCGCAGTACCAGCACCAGCAGGAACCGACCCTGACGACGACGACCCAGAAACCGCCGACGCCAGCGCAGCCTGCACCAGGTCCGCAGCCACTCGTTCGACAAGCACAAAGTCAAACGCGCCCTGCACGAGCAGTCCGTCTTGCCCGTTCTCCCCCGGCGAGGCCAAGGCCGGTACAGCCCCCAACAGGCGTGAGTATCTGAGCACGGAGCCGATGACGTCTAGCTCCGGCGCGCCGCCGCCGACAATGCTGGCCGGACGGTGCACACAAACGGGCAGGCCATGTTCCTTTGCCGCCCTCTCCAGCAGGGCCTCGCCGGCCCACTTGGAAAGCGCGTAACCGTCAAGGACTTGCTCCCCGTCCTCTCGCACCGGAGGGAGTCGCCCTGCGACCGACGACGGCGGGAGCGTTGGCACGGGCACCCCTCCCAACCCCGGTCCCTCAACCTGAGACAGTAAAACACAGGCCACGCCGGCACTGCTAACAAAATGGACCGGAACCCTCCTTACCAGCGCTAGCTCCACGATGGTCCGCGTGCCCATGACATTCGGGCCCCGTAGCGCCTCGTAGGGCTGCAGGAAGGACACGGCGGCGCCGTTGTGGATGACCACGTCGACGGTGGCGGCCAGATGGGCGAAGGCTTGGGCGGAGAGGCCGAGTAACGGCAGGGCGAGGTCGCCGGCGTGTGGGACAATCTTGGTGGCGTTATTGTCTCGGTCTCCGGCCGTCGCCACAAAGCGATGGCTGTTCCGAACCGCGAGGCAGTGGATCTCACTCACGCGCGGGTCTGTCGCAAGGGCTTGCAGGATGTGCCTGCCCAGGAAGCCTGTCGCGCCGGTCAAGGCGACTCTGATGCCATTGGCGTCCACCCGCGCATTTCTTGCCGGCGGTAATGGTGTGATGCCATTCAGCTGGGGTGATGGCGCTGGTGGTGGTGAGATTCCGTCAAGAAGCGACGCTACCTCGGCAGCCCAGTCTACTTTGGGCGATGGCTTCCGCACCACCGTCGACGCCTCTTCGCTGCTGTATTTTGAGTCTGCCAGGGTCGCTGCCGGCGCTACTCGGGCCGATATCCTAGATAGCGTCCGAAGGCGGAACAGCTCAGGGACGGGAATGATTACCCCAAAATTCCTCTGAATTGCCGAGCGGAGTTTGAGGGTAAGCATCGAGTTGCCACCAACTTGAAAGAAGTCCGAGTCCGCATCGATAAAGCCGTCGGGTATCGAGGGAACATCATTTCCTTGGGGAGAAGACTGTGGTGGGGCGTCGTCATGGAGCAGCTCCCGCCAGATCTCTCTCATGCGCAACTCGGTGGGTGACAGGTTACCGACAGTTTTCTTCACTCCTTCGCTGGCACTACCGCCGTCAATGTACTCGCTTCCGTTCGTCCATGCCTCCGCAGGTATTCGCAATCTATCAATAGCCGCCCTGTCCAGTTTCCCGTTCACGTTCATGGGTAATTCGTCCACAGCTACCACGACGGTAGGCTGCATGTGTGCCGGCAGGGGTAGAGACGTCTTCAGCTGACGCATGAGCTGCGCGCGACCGTCGCTGGACTGCAGCTCGGCGTTGAAAACAACAAATGCCACCAGCAAATCCGTCGGGGGCCCTTCAGGGCGGAACGATATGGCCGCAGCGGCCAGCGCCCCGGCTGACTCGCGTATCATCACACTGGCGATCTCGTCGAGTTCGACGCGCATGCCGCGAATCTTGACCTGGCCGGCGCTGTTGCCGGCCACAAGTCGCCCCAGGAGATGGATGGAGCCGTCAGGGAGGAGGCGGCCATGGTCGCCGGAGCGGTAGAACCTGATGGTTTTGTCTGTCGTCGTGGCGGATGCAAGTGTGAGGGGTGAAGACAGCGCTGCTGCCGCTTCCTTCGGGTCCTCCACCTCCACAAACCGCAGCCTCGTCTCCTCCTCCCGGTTGAGGTACCCCAGCGCCACGCCGTCCCCTGCAATGCACACCTCGCCGGGGAACCCAACAGGAACCGGCTGCATGGTCTCCTCGTCCACCACAAGAACCTCGTAGCCAGGCATGGGGAGCAGATAATCCCCGCCCTCGCCCACGACATCCTCGTCTTGTTCCATGTAAGGCACCGGCCCCCGCGCGCAGGCAATCGTGACTTCGGTAGGGCCATAGACGTTGACGAATCTCAGCCCTTTGAGCGCTAGCCGGCGGAAACCATGGCGCAGCTGCGGGGTGAGCTTCTCGCCTCCGGAAAATGCGAAGCGCCACTGCTGGCACCGACGCAGGTCTGCCGCGCCGTAATTTAGAAGGGCCAGATACTCGGACGGGCAGCCCGTCGTGACGGTGACTCCCTCGTTGAGCATCAGACGGGCCAGGTGGGCGGGGTCGCCGCGTCCCTCCTGGCCTACGACGACGAGGCGGCCGCCGTTGCAGAGCGCGTGGAACACCTGGTCGAGGCAAAAGTCGAATCCCGGAGAAGTCTGCTGCAGTATCACGTCCGAGGGGCCGAGACCGAAGAGCGCTGTGTTGGCGGCGATGTGGCTGTGGAGGTTGCGGTGGCTCAAAAGAACCCCTTTAGGGATGCCTGTGGACCCCGAGGTATATAGGATGACAGCGCATTGATCGAGGTTGCTTCGGTTCTGCACCTGCTCCCGTTCACTTTCGGCAGGGTCCTCAAGAGCGTCGATATTGATAACCTGCGCAGAGACAGAAATAGCCAGGCGGTCTGCCAGATTACTTGTCATATTGTTGCAAACAAGGACCTTGGGCCGGCAGTCCAACAACATGACAGCGAGTCTCTCCTCTGGGTTGCGCAAGTCCAGACCTATGCAGCTAACGCCCAGCCGCAGAATGGCAAGCAGACAGCACACGTAGTCATTCATTGGCGGGATCAGCGTCGCCACCACTACTAGCGACGGGGCATCTGGTTGGAATGACAATGGCAGGCTGTCGAGGTCTACGCCGCCATCCCGCAGCACGCGTTGCAGGGGATGCGCAATCCGTTGCGTTCGCGCCATCATTTGGCTGTAAGTCAGCCTGCCGCCATAATCATCCACCAAGGCTATCGAGTCAGAATGCTGTCGGGCAACCGTGTCGACCTGATGGATGAGTGTACCCGGGGTCCAGACAGGCCATGACTCAGCTGGGGGCTGCTTCCCAACGCCCAGATTTAAAGCGTCGCGCAGATCTTCTTCTGTTGCTACAGGACAGCGTGCTATGCACGTGGCAGATGGCTCGCGAGTCAGGGCGTCCAGAATGCGCGCGTACCAAGTCATCATCAAGCGCGAGTCCGAGGCATGGTACAAGTACTTCTGCGTGGTCCAGTGGATGAATGTGGGGCCCCCGGCTGTCGGTGTCACGTTGATGAAGATATCGTAGGGGTTCCGCGCTGTGATGCTCTGCTTGGCATCCCATTCGATGGTGGCATCAGGGTCAAAGAGCTGCTGCGCTTGGGCGTAGCCCTGTCGGTAGTCCAACGCGACTTGGAAGAGTGGGTGATGGCTGCCGGCCCGTGAGACATGGAGATGGTCGAGGATAGAATCGAATGGGACGCGAGCGTGCGTCAGCGCATCAAGGACCATGTTCCGGCACCGCTCAACGAGCTGTGAGAAGCTGCCTTCCTCCTTGCCGCCGCTGTCCAGACGGAATCGCAGCGGTAGCATGTTCAGGAAGTAGCCCAGGGTGGAAGCATCTTGGGGATCTGGCCGATTAGCGTCAACGATGCCGATGCTAAAATCGGCCACGCCGAGGGTGCGCTGGAGAAACACGGCCAGCGCCGACAGATAGAAATGGAAGGGCGTGACGCCGAGGGACGCCGCGGCTTGCTGGACGCGCCTAGCCAAGTCGGGCTCCAGCTCCATATCAAAGGTCTCAGCTTCATACTTCTTCAGCACTTGGCGATTCTTGACCTTGGAGAACGGGAAGAGTGGCAATGGCTCGTGCTCTTGTTGATACATCTTGGCCCAGAAGGACAGTTTCTCCGGGTTGGACATACTATCGGATGCGTGCTGCTTGGCAGACATGTCGATAGATTGCTGCAACGGACTGACCTCGTGCCCCGCGTACGCCAGGTTCAGATCGCGTAGAAATACGAGCCAGCTGACGCCGTCGAGAGCGATGTGGTGGTGCAGGAAGATGACGTGATGCAGCGCTGGACCCAGCGAGAGCACCGTAACCTTGAGCAAGTGGCCATGCTCGATGTCAAACACGAGCCGCCTCTGGGTCTCAATCTCAGCCTTGACTTCGCTCTGGTCCAGGATCTGCCTGTGCTCAAACTGAGGCGAGGCCCTCGGAAGCACACCCTGTAAGGGTCGATGGGAATCGCTATCGATATAGTAACAGCTCCGAAGGGCTTCGTGAGCAGCGCACACCTGCCACAGCGATCTCCGCAGCCTGTTAGCCTCTAGTCGGCCTCGGTATTTGCCCACGTATCCAATTGTGAAGGGCGATTTCTCCTCTAGGTACTGGTGCAGAAAGTACAAACGAGCTTGCGCTGACGACATGTCTCCGATCCTAACATATCCCATCTCATTCTCGGGACTGGACGGTGGCGGTAAGCTAGGTGGTGTTGATGTGGACACTGGCGCCTCCGACGTTGGCACGACAGTTAGGGCCGGCGTTAGTCTAGCAATGGATGACTCCTGTTCGTCATCGTTCATGCCGGCAGAGAATCTTTGCTCCACGGTGCCAAGATTCTCTTCAGACAAGCCGGGGGAAGGAGCATGGAGTGATTCAGAGGGTACCAGTTCTGGTTGAGGGGCCGAATCCTCCTGTTTCTTCAGAGTTTCGGCGAACTCGGACATGGCGACACGACAGACGTCGGCGAGCGAATCGCCTCCGAGCATCTTAAGGATCGGGATGTCCACGGACAACTCCTGAAGAAACCAGGACCGGATCTCCACAGCCACTAGGGAATCAATGCCTAACGCAACGAGGGGCACATTCGTTTCGATCTTGGAAGCGTCTGTCTGGAGAATCACGCCGAGCCGAGCAACAAACGCATCTTGAAGCAACGCCAGGACTGCCTCACTGGTAGATTCGGAGGCGCCGTCCAACGCGGCGGCAAGCTCTCGCCGGAGGAGGATATTCCGTCCCAGGGATTTTTGCTTTGCGCCTGGCTTCTCACGACCTCCAGAGGCGTCCTCGTCGCCGGCCTGGGGTCCGTGTCGCCGGGAAGCGCAATGTGCCAGCCAGGATGAAAAGAGCGGTATGTGCCGCCAAGGCGCGTTTTCCCCTGCGCCCAGGCCGACGATGATGCCCGGATCCATGCTTGACTCGGGCCGTCCGGAGATCACAGCCTCGGCAAAAGAGGCGTGCAAATCATCTTCGGATATCGGCTGCGCCGAAACCCTCTGCAGCTGAGCCTCAACGGTCCCCATGTCCATGCCTGCAGCTTTAGCCTTCTCCATGGATCTCGCCACATGACCGATACCAAACAGCCGCGAGAGATAGATGACCGACGCGGCAGCGCCTCTCCTCCGCCGCCTGTCCGCTACGCTCGCCATGAACATGTTGGCCGCGTTGTAATTGGTCTGTCCGGCATTGCCGACGATGGTAGCGGCACTGGCAAACAGCACGAAGAAGTCCAGCTCGGCATCACGGTCACGGAACAGCTCGTCCAAGTTCAGCGTACCCTGCGCCTTGGGCCTCAGCACTGCAGAAAAGTCCTCCGCCGTCATCAGCCCGAACGGCCTGTCGCGCAGGACCATGGCAGCGTTGGCGACGCCGACAATGGGGGGCATGCGTGCGACCATGTCGGCGTGAGCGACGCGGAGGGCTTGTTTGTCGGATATGTCGACGGCCCAGGTCTCTAGCTGGGCGACGCCGAGCCGCGCCAGGTGCTGCCGCACCGCCGGGTCAATCCGTGGACTGCGGGCAATGATGGCGAAATGGCGCGCCCCTTGGCCCGCCATCCATTCTATTAGGGAAAGTCCAACGTCGCTCGCGAAGCCGACCAGTAAGTACGTCTTTTGCGGGGAGAACAAAAGCTGTCCATCGAGCCCCAAAGGGCGGATTTGTGCCGAAAGCGTGCCCGGGTTGGTGTTGGCCGCATGCCGCGTTGCCGTCCCTTTCCAATCAACGACGGTGGTAACGGGGTGGTACCCTGAGATGGACGGAATCATGCGGATGTCGATAGCCGTTCTGAAGGAGTCCTTGCCAGAACGCATACTAGATGACGACGATGAGGGACATGTTATTTCCGATGTAATGACGTCCCACATTCTGGAGTTGCTGCCCAGCTGAAGAGCAAAAACCCCGGATCTGCTGATGTCCAAACACAGATTCCGAATGTCGCTACGAGGAATGAGTCCCGAGCGGACAACTGTATCTTGTAGGCTGCGAGCATCATCATCGTCGTCCATGACCGCCACAACAAATCTCTGCACGTTGGCAGGGATGACAGCCTCTACCTCTCGCTCTGTACATCGCGGGTGGATCACAGTGACCTCTGCTTCTAAACCATAAGACGCATATGTCGCCGCGGTAGATGCACAAGACGCACTGAGGAAGACGTCTACTCCGCGGGCTTTGGCCATCTGCAGTGCCACCTCTGCAAACTCGACCGGCGCGTCATGAAGCCAGATACTACTTCCGTGGAGGTCGGCAAGAAGGTCTTCGCACACGACAGCGGTGCATATTTGACGTAGTATGCCGACGTGCTCCTCTCCTTCAATTGTCCTGTTGCAAGCCGCGACTCGATCACAAGGTAGGTAGAGCGACGAGGCGTTGACAGGCGAGACGGCAAGGAATATCTTCCCCGGTTTGTCGACGACCGAGCCAAGACATATGTATAGCGGACTTGCCCGGCTGCCTGAGGAAACAGCGAACAGGGTTGAGAAATGGGTGATGAAATGCACTATTTTCCTCTCGCTGTTGCTTGCCAGGACGCCAGAACGATCCATCTCGATTTTTTGCAGCGCGAATCGCCCCTCTTCGTCTCTAGCAATTTTCACATCGGCAGATCCGAGAGGCACATCCTCCGTCACGACACGGCTGCCTGACGCAAGCCGGCGGTTGAGCAGGTGGTCTGGCTTTATCCGGGGAACGTACAAGACCTCAACCTGGCCACCGCTCTGGCTGCTGGCACGCACCGCCAGTTCCGTCTCGTTGCTCCACAGCACGTCACCGTACTCGGGACGGTCGAGACAGACCATGCGAAGAAACATTTCGGAGAGTATCATGGCGTGCTTCTCTGCGTGACAGATAGGGTCGACGTCCACAGAGAGCAATCGCAGATGAGGAGACTCGGTCAAGAGAGAGCGGCCAATGCCTGCCATCATGTTGGCTCGCGGGTTACGGCCGGTGTGACGCCCTTGTGTGACCCATAAAACCCTAGATGCGTCGTGAAACACGGCTTGCATGGCCAGCAGTCGTGTCTGGGAGATGTACCAGTCTTCCCTAGCGCCGTCGTCTTGCGACTCGGAGAGGATGATCACGGCGCTTCCTGGCCGGATGATGCTGCCGTGCGAATGCTTAGAGTCAGCTGCTTTGATGGAAGCCTCGGTCTCCAGCGCTTCCCAGCCCTCGAGTATAATCGGCCGGTTGCGTGCCCACGGTTCGAGAAGTAGACCCATTTCAGACGCTGTTGTGCGAGCTATCTGCTGTCCGGTCATGGGGGAGACACCAATGATAACAAGGTTGTCCAACAGAGCCACTGACTTTGCAAGAGACGTCGCAGTATCGCTATTGTTCTGGAGGGGGGCTCGCAAGAACTCGACCCGGTGGTCCATGGCCTGGCTGACCATGACGGAATTCAGATATGCATTCTCATCTCGGGTGTCTCTCGCAACGTAATCCACCCCGGAGAAACCGTTCTGCTTGAGCAGAAAGTCCCACCTGCTCTCCGACACCGTGGGGCTGTACATGCGCCCGTCGCCATCCCGGCCCAGCCACCATCCGGGCAGCCCGCAGACAATGAAGGGAGCGTAGAGCGAGTCGCTCGTCATCTCGCCTAAGACGAGGAACCCGCCCGGCCTCAGCAACCGCCGGCAGTTAGCCAAGGTGAGCGGCAGCGACCGCGTCGCGTGCAGCACGTTGTAGGCGATGACAAGGTCGAACGCTCCTCCGCCGTGTTCCGCCAGGAATCCCGACGGCTCACCTGGGTCACGCTCAATGTCCAGGACGGCGTAGCGCATCTTGTCTGCCCCGTAACTAGAAGCAAACTTGACCTGCGCATCGTGGAAAAAAGCTGCCGAGACGTCGGTGAACGTGTACGATGCAAAGTGGCCGTCAAGCGCCGCCAACGCACATGCTGTGCCTGCCCCCGTGCCGGCCCCAATCTCGAGGATGCGCATGTGTGGATATCGGTGGGCAAGTTGTTTCACAGCAGCCCCAATGATCTGGTTAGCCTGCCACATGCCTGCTGCCGAGCTGTAGAAGCGGGTGAGCATGCCGTTTTGCATCAGAGTATCCAGAATAGTTGTGGAGCCCAGGGCGGCAGCACCACATGAGGCCCGCATGACGGATGGAAGACATTCACCGACTGCATGGATGAGTTGGATTTCGACACATTCGCCATACTGGGCTCGCCAGGCCTGAATGGTCTCATGTGTGTCGGTTGCCCACTCAGGGCGAACACGGGTGTGAAGCCCTGCTTGAACAGTGGGCACAATCTGATTGATGGCCCAGTCCAAGAGGTATTGGAAGTGGCGCGCCATGGCCCTACTCTCGTCCTCCGAGTTCTGGCTAATGAGCCGCAGAAGGTAGAAGTAGGCCATCCTGTCGCAGATTTCGCTCAGTTCAGCCCGGCCTAAGGGGTATCCCGGTGTAGGCAGATCCTGTTGTGTCTCAAGGCCGGAGGATTGGAGATCTCTGTCCCAGACGGTGCGCGCGAATAGGGAGCGATCGTCCCGGCTGCTTGGCTTGCTAATACGCAACGCGGCAAGGCTTTCTACCTGCATCAAGGCGCGCCCGCATCCCGCGCAAAACAAGTCAACGTCGCCGCTGATAATGGAAAATGAGTTCTGTCTCGCGTGGCAGTCGGCTATCAGTTGAGGGCCGCCGTCTCGACCCAGGTGCGGGTGGGTACTGAAACACGAGCATCGGCCCGCCGTCGTCATGTCGACTCGGACACGATTGATAGCCGAGGGCAGATGGGGAGCGCTCATCCGGCCATCGCCCGGGTAACTATAAGCGGCAAAGATGCCATGGAAAGCCGCGTCCAGAGCCGCGGGATGAACCCGCATCATGAGATTGCCAGCCGGTCGTTCCACAACAACCGTAGAAAGGCTGCGCCTCCTCCAGACTGACTTGGCCAGGAAGTCGCCCGAGTACTGGAGGCCGAGGGACGACAGATGAGAGTAGAAACGGCCGGTGTCGAGGCTGGTGAGGGGCAATTTCGTTGGGTTACGTGCAGGAAGCGGCGAGGCACGCTGCGATGCTTGGTCTGGGTGTGCCGGAGGAACCAACCGGATGCTTGCTCGACCACTAAAGCAGAGCGTCATAGCCGTTGCCGTTGTGCTACTCCCTTCGAGTCGTGTGCCCCCATTGTCGGAAGGTGCCTTGGGGTCGCCGCTATAGCATAGGTACTCTGCTGTTATCGTATGACGAGCAGTATCTGAGTGGAGCGCCCGCATCACCATAACCACCTCCACGCCGACGGAAGCATCGTCGTCGATGGTAATGGCGTGGTGAAAACGAAGGTCGGTGAGCTCGACGAGCAATGCTGGATCGGGAACACTCGGCTCAACCACTTCTGCCAAAGCACCGGCTGCATCGATGACCATTGATATGTAACCGGCGGCAGGGAAGACAACTTGGTGTTGGAACTGGTGGCCCCGTAGCCACTCGAGTTCGCCGATTTTGAGGATGTTCCGCCACGTCATCATTGGCGAGTCACGGCCATTGCAGCCGTGCTGTATTGCTCTTCCAAGGAGAGGATGTCTAGACGACCGGGGTCAGCGTGCATTCCCGTCACCTCAATGACCAGGGGATGATTGAGTAGCAGATAGGGCTCACATTGGCCGGTTGTAATCACACCACGCTCTGTACTGGTTGGACTCAAAAAGTAGCGGCTGGTCATGATCCCAGCTGTACGGAGGGAGATCCGAGCACCCCCCACACAACGGAGACTGATGTCGTTTCATCCTCTCATCCCCAGCTTGTCCATAGAACGCCATCCGGAAGGCATCCCAGTCGACAGCAGAAGGTACTCCAACTGGGGACCGTACTATGGTCCATGTCGAGGCAAAGGCGTCGCAGAAGGCAACGCAGTCATCCTCGCCCCTTTTAAGCAGCCCAAAGTATGGAATCTCGACGCCTGTTGTTGCGCTGAATGAGTCCGTGAACGGGCCCCGCAGAGCTGGGTGTGGTCCAATTTCTAACGCAAGATCAAAGCAGTGCGGTTCCTCTCTGGCTGCTCTCTCAACGGCCTGGTAGAAGAGCACGGGCTTGACCATGTTGTCGACCCAGTATCTGTCGCGGAGCGAATCCAAGTTCTGTATGCTCCGCCCATCCGGACCATGCACGCTGGAGTACCAAGTACAGCCGCCGTCGAATGATCCTCTCTTGGGTTGAATAGCGCATCGTTGGAGGGATGCAAGGTAGGCCGCGGCACATGACTTCATGTGGTGTGAATGGTAAGCCTTGTTGACTCGGAGGACTCGCGCGAATATTCCACTGCGGTCTAGAACCTCTTTGGCCTCCAGGATCGCGCTGGAATCACCTGAGAAAGTAACACTGGATGGCGCATTGCTCGCCGCCACTGTTATCCTGTTAGTGAAATCGGGGCGCTGGCAGAAAGCCGTGGCCTCGATGAACGACATAGCGGCAGCCATCATGCTACCAGATTCACCGCTAGTCGGTGACTGTGCTAGGGATGAGTGAACACCGCGATAGTACGCAATGCGGATTGCGTCCAAGGCTGATATGTAGCCTGATGCATACGCCGCGGTGATCTCACCGGAAGAGTGCCCGACAACGGCGGTAAATAGGACACCCGAGGCTTGGAGCATGTCGACCAGCGCAATCTGCACAGCGGTGGTGAGCGGCTGGGCAACCTCAGCTTCGTGTATTCTGGACTCGGTGCTGGAAGTACCTAGCAGCTCGTTGGTAAGTGACCAGGACGGAGGATCCGGCGACTGCGCAAGAGAGTCTTCGAGCTGCTGTATGGTACGTCTAAACAGAGGCGACTGCGTGTATAGCTTCGCGCCCATCCGATACCACTGCGCACCTTGGCCGGTGAACACGCCGATGATGCGCAATGGGAACTCTGACGACACTGTGATGGTCTTTTCTGCTGAATCGCCGCCGCCGCGAACCACGAATCCCTCGAGTTGATTCATGAGCTCCTGCTTACTGGCCGCACAAAAGGCAGCCCTATAGGCAAACTCGGTGCGCCGCGATTGCAATGTCCAAGCTACATGGCCAATATCCAGACTGGGTGAGGACTTTGCAAGTGTCTCGAAGAGTGCCGACACTCGTCTTGCGAGGGAAGTCCTGGATGATGCAGATACTGTAAAAGGACCATAGACCTTAGGGGCATGGCAGTCGGTTATTGGGGCCAGGGCTGCTGTCCCACCACTATCCCAGCTTTCAAGAATGACATGCGCGTTTGTTCCGCCAAGCCCAAAGCTGTTCACGCTTGCACGCCTCACCACAACGGAATCCGCTGGCCACGGTGTCAGCTCTGTTGGCACCCGGAGGTGAGGGTTGTAAAAGGGCTCCACGGCCGGGTTAAGTCGCTCAAAGTGCATATTGGGCGAAATTTGGGCATGTTGTATCGCCAGGGAGGCCTTGAGAACTGCCACCAGACCCGCCGCCCCTTCAGTGTGCCCCACGACGGTCTTGACAGAGCCAACGTACAGGACCTGGTCGTTGAGGTTGTCTGGGTCTCCCATGACGGGATGATTTGTTGGGAAGAACACATCTCGTATGGCTTGCGCCTCCTTTGGGTCCCCGGCAGGGGTACCTGTGCCATGCGCTTCGAAATACTGGCATCTATCCTGCGGCCGGGTTGGATCTAGACCGCACCTTGCGTACGTCGACCTGATAAGTTCCGCTTGCGAGACGGCATTCGGAACGGTCAGTCCTCCGGGAGTCCTACCATTCTGGCTCACTCCCGTCTCTCTGATAATGCATTCGATGCGATCGTTATCGGCCAGCGCCTGATGGAGCGGTTTGAGCACCACTACAGCGACACCCTCACCGCGAGCATAGCCGTCAGCTCTCGCATCCCACATGTGGCATCGCCCTGTAGGGGACAGCATGTGAAGCTATCAACGAAAGCCGTTAGCGAGCCCTGAGCGGCAGAGCACTCGACACTAAATCCAACCGTGCTTCGCAATTGAGTGCAAGTTGAGCCACTGACCTTGGATTGAAGGACAAACGACTCTGGTCCGAGAATGAGGTTCAACCCAGCAGCTACAGCCATGCTAATGTCTCCGCTTCGCAACGACTGGACAGCCTGGTGAAGAGCTACCAGACTAGATGAGCACGCTGTATCCAAGTTCACGGATGGCCCACGCCAGTCGAAAAAGTAGGACACGCGGTTGGCCGTGATGGCGCGCGAGATGCCCGTGGCTGTGTACTGAGGGGCGATGTCCAGGTCACGGTACATGGAGTCTTTGAAGTCGTCGTTCATCTGGCCCACGAAGACCCCAGTCTGGGAACCACGGAGCGCATGCATCGAGTACCCTGCGGCCTCGATGGCCTCGTAGACGACCTCAAGCAGCATCTTCTGCTGGGGGTCCATGGCTTCGGCCTCGCGCCGGTGGATGCCGAAGAAGTCATGATCAAATGCTCGATGGTCCTCTCCACACAGGTAAGCGTGCTGTACATTGGTGCTCTATTGCGTCGATCAGTGTCTGGAAAACCGGGAGTGAACAACGGCGTGCTCTGTCTCGCTACTGTACTCACCCCATGATGGTCCCCGTTTTCATTGTAGAACCCGCGCGCATTGAATCTGTGGCTCTTGGCCATAGAGATGTCCGACAGGACGTCCCTGGGGTTCTGGAGCAGGTCCCATAGCTTAGAGGGCGACGTAGCGTGTCCTGGGAGCCTGCAGCCACTGCCAACGATGGCAATAGGTTCAGCATTCCATGTCTCTGTACGCATGCTGGCGCTGTTGTGTGACTGTGGGATCAACATGACTGTGGCACCATCAGTTACCAAGGTGGAATTGTCTGTTTACCCATATTAAGACGAAGAGTCTAGCCCATGTCAGTATATAGTATCATTACTTAGAGTAATAAACTTGCAGACAAGCAAGTTTCATGCAGCCCTACCTACCGAGGCCCAGGACTGCGGCATTAGTCCCAGCAGCTGTGCTCATTGACCGGGCCCTTGTAGCGCCAACAGCATCGGTTACATTGGAACTTTCGAGCGAGCCTCGATCTTCACTAGCACCGTCAGAGCTTGGACGGGGACAATATGCCGATGTCATGTCGGGAGGGGAAGTGGCATAAGCCGAAATGTACCGACCCGCTCGGTTCCCACTCAGGGGACTGTTCGATATGAAAGCCAAGTTTCATCCAGCAGTTGCGAGTTACCTTGGTCGTCACCTGCCGATTGTCCCTTGCGCCTTGCGAGTTCTAACGGCCTTCAGGGGGTGTAAGGGAATAACCAGTGAAAGTAGAAATCCCACAGCGCCACGGCAATGGCACGAATGCGCCAGGCTCTCGTCAGTTCAACGCTCGGGAGGCTTGTGGTGGCTAGTCATGTTAGCATTCCGGCCCCAGAGCAGGGCGAGATGCTGTGCCAGACTGCCGCCGTAGGGCTGAATCCAGGAGACGTCAAGTTCAGCGACTACACATCCCTACAAGGCACCATCGGAGGGTTTGACTTCGCTGGCGTGGTTCTACAAGTCGGTCCGGGCGTGACGAGATTCAAAGCAGGCGATAGAGTAGCCGGCTTCGCACACGGCTATGACTCGAACAACAAGTCGAGCGGTGCCTTTGCCGACGTTGTCCTAGCGGTGGAGGACCTGACGCTTAAGCTCCCTCACGACTGGACATTCGAGCAGGGAGCCACGCTAGGGACGATCGTTGCCACAGCCGGAATGGCTTTGAGCCACTACCTAGACATTCCTCTACCGGAAGCCGACAGCGAACGAACAAACGCAACCGGTGGCAAGACCAGCGATCAAGATGGCGAGTACGTCCTCGTTTCAGGCGCCGCCACTGCCACGGGAATGGTAGCGACGCAGCTTCTCCGACTGGCTGGCTTCCGGCCGGTGGGAACGTGCTCACCGAGAAGCGCAGAGCTCGTGCGGTCGTTGGGCGCCGTTGCCACGCTGGATTACCGCTCGCCAACGTGCGGCGCCGACATTCGCTCCCTCACGGGCAACTCGTTAACACGCGTGCTCGACTGCGTCACCAGCGCCGAAACCATGGCCATGTGCTATTCCGCAATCGGGTCCAAGGGCGGTCGCTACGTGGCCCTGGACCCCGTGTCAACGCACGTCAAGTACACGCGTCGCGATGTCAGCGCCGACTGGCCCATGGCGTTGGCCATCTTCGGGCATCCTGTACGACTGGCGGGCGTCTACGGACGGCCGGCAACACCAGCGCTGAGGGGGCTCGGAGCGCGTATATTCTGCATGGCTGAGGCCCTGATTGAGCGGGGCGAGCTGCGGGGGCCGCCGTTCCAAGTGCGGAAAGGAGGGTTGGCGGCGGTAGACAGAGGGATAGAGGACCTGCGGAAGGGGAGGGCCAAGGGAGAGAAGTTGGTGTATCCTCTGGCTTGACTCGGACACCGATTGACCGACATGACGACTCTGGTTTCATTAGCATTGGGTTTGTCGGTAAGAAACGAACGCCGTGCCGTTGGCACGCATACGTACATTAGGGATTCAATGGCAAATGGCACCATTGCGTATGATGTTGTGCCGGTAACAGTACCATCCCTCGGTCGCCGGTCGGCACAAATCGTCTTCCTTGGAATCGTTGAAGTTGAAAGAAAAACTACCGACGCTAATGCACGGCAGCAGCCACCCCCAGCCCCCAAGCAAGCCCAGCGACAAGGTGACTTCAGATTGGCCCAGCTCAAATCATTGTGGGCCTGTGTGCTGGGAGCCTCGGCAAGTGTTACAGTGGGCAGGCAGGTGCCAGGCAGCTCACTTCCACAAGCGTTTAGCTCCTCATAGGTAATATTGGCAGCGTACCACAACGTTGCCAGAACCTTTCCTCCATGATCAATTCAATCAATTCAGACCACAATTCCTTCAGTTTACCGCATCAGGAATGTGTCAGATTCTGAACGTCCATGGATTTTCTGAATCGGCAGATTCGAGGTTATCGGCATATTCCAACCGATTTCCAAGGGGCGCCTCACCTTACCGGCCAGCGAACAGCTGAACTTGGGCCATGTTGGTACCGATCTCAACCTGAATCTGGCAATGTCGCCAATGTCCAACAGTCCAATTGCTTCAACATCTGAAAGACCACGACAGAAAGGGTGAAACCCTGGCACAGATTTGCTAGTACTTACTAGTACTCCGACATCTTCAAAACCGGCCTTCTGTGTTGTAGAAGGCTCTGCTGGAGTCCGGCCTCGATAACGCAAACAAGTTCTTCCCGCGGCGATGTTGGGTATCTCACCGTCCAAGTTTTGTCACTTCGAGTTCTTGCGGGTCCTCGGCACAGGTTGGTGCATCACGCTCCCAATTAAGGGACATGTCGTATAACCAGAAGCCTAGCGAACGCTGACTCTCTCATACCTAAGCTCCCACGGGCGGGTGCGATGCTGGAGAGTGTGTTGAGACGGCGGCCAAGTAAGTGAACTTCAAAAGTACCTCAATGCTTACCTACTCCCCAAGAAGGCCAGGTCCAACATTCTAACGCTTCAATAGGATCAGAATCAACGATGGCGAGAGCTGGTACCGGGCCTGGTCAGAGACGGCCAAAAGGGCAGAGGCCGCGGCCGAGCTTGCGACAAGGGATGGAGACCGGGTAGCAGCGCGCTGGGCTTTTCTACGGGCAAGCAACTACTGGCGCTCCAGCGAACTGTACGTCGGCCCCCTAGCGGTAGCTACATATGAGAGCCACACTAACACCTAAGGCTCGCAAGCATGCTGCGGAAACCCATTCCTCAGCAAGATCCCCGCCAACTCGATATCATATCCCGGTCAGTCGACAACTTCAAAAAGGCCTGCGCCATCCTAGATACCCCGGTTGAGTTCCTCGAGATCCCCTTTGGCACCGACGGAGCGACTCTTCCCGCCTACCTCTTCCTGCCCAACAAGCCGCCCGAAGGAGACAAGTCCGGAAAGATCCCCGTTCTTGTGCAGGTGCAAGGTTACGACACCACCAAGGAGGAGTTCTACCACTTCACCGTAGCGGGCGCCCTGCCGCGGGGCTACGCCGTGCTGACCTTTGATGCGCCCGGGCAGGGCATGGTAGTCCGTCGGAAGAAGCATCGCCTCTTCCTGCGCGGCGATTTCGAGGTGGTGGTGCGGGCCGTGCTGGACGCCCTGTGGGCTCACGCCGCCAAGTCGGCGGCCTGTAAGGACCTGGATCTCGAACGGTTGGCGCTGCTGGGCAACTCGATGGGGGCCTACTTCGCACTGCGCGGGGCCGCTCACGACGACCGCGTGAAGGCGTGTATGGCCTCGGATGGCTTCTACGACCTTGGCGCGGCGGCACGCGAGCGCATACCGGGCTGGTTCCGCTACCTGAGCCGCGGCATGGTCGACCGCATCATCGGTCTGGCCATGCGCATGTCCAGCTTCCAGGTTCAGTGGGAGTTGGCCCACGGTGTTTTTGCGTTTGGAGTGTCCTCGGTGTCCGGGGTGCTTGAGAAGTCGCAGGCCTTTACCCTGGACCGGCCCGACGGAACCTCCATGCTGGCTGATATCAGGTGCCCCACGCTCGTGACGGACGCTCGTGACTCGGTTTTTCGCCTGGATGCGCAAAAGATTTATGACAATCTAACTCAGCTCAAGGACGGAGAATCCAAGAAGATGTGGAGTCCCATTGGAGTCGGGCAAGGTTCGCTGCAGGCCAAGGTTGCTGCCTTCTCCCATCTCCATGCGTAAGCTGCTTCTTCCCAGGCTGTTCTTCGAATTCTCTTTTTCCCAAAGCTGACATACATGAATTGTTCAGGTACATGTTTGGATGGCTAGACCGCGTTTTCGGTATCGCGAGACCTGCGCTCAATGTCGACAAATGCAGCTAAGGTACCTGTTTGAAGTCATGAACAAGACACCTACATACATGTATATCAACTTGGCGTTCGAGTTGTGAGTTCTATGATATATGTGTGTAAGCGGGTATAATACAGACCATGAGGTACTTCCGTTCCCAGAATATAAACAAACGTCGTGTTCTCTACCATGCTAGGTTTGACATCCATCACAAGACTGTATGTGCAGTACTACGAAGTACGAAATCAAGTAGGTTCATTTCGACTTCGAGTCCGCTATGATGTTTTAAGGGATCTTGGGTTCCAATTGCTCGCCTTTCGCGGGTTGTCTACCTCATAGCGTGACAACATCATTGATCCCTAGAAGGAGGAGCAGTTCTACCACAACAAGGGGGCCCAATGTAGACGCCAGTATAGTTGATTGAGTCATATAATAATCTCAAGTTCAAGCGAACACTACTGATACAAGATCGTCAATGAAACCTTAGTAAGGTCTCGTAGTTTCCGACCCAGGCTCGTCAGGAACTTGTACCCAGGCCCCATTTCTATATGCCATCCTTTCCATCTGAACATCAGCTCTGACATTGATGCCCTGTCCCGTTTCCCTTCTCATGGCTGTCATATCCGAGGACGCTACTGTGGTGTGCAACGTGTTTTTGGAGCCGATGGCAACATCGCTGCCGCTGCCGTTGATGTGGCTGCCGTCGTTCAGGGTCTTGACACTGATGCCGGGGTAGGAAGCGGCATCGGTAGGTCGCAGCGGAACGGCGTCCGACTTGACGTTGTAGGACCAGCCGGTAGGCCCGCCCGTCTCGCCCCTGGCGAGCTTCCTATACAGGCTGCGGTAGACGGGGATGGACACGACCAGGAAGCCGACGCACAGCTCAATGCAAGACATGTAGCCCGCGGGGATGGCGTCCCAGGAGCCGTCCACCGAGCCGACGTCGAGCGAGTAGACTAGCCGTACGATGGACACAATGACGGCGCTAGATGCGGAAGTCCGTTAGGGCTGTATCTCAGATCCCTATTTGATGTAGGCAGTCGGGGCTCTGTGAATGCTTACCTGGAACCTGCTGCGAAGGTGCCGGAAATGACGAGCTTTTTCTCGGCGCTTGTGTGCAGTTTCAAAACGAGCGGAAGGGGCAGTGCGATAATGATGAAATCAGTGACAACATTGCAGACGCCGACGACAAGAGACAGCTGGCCAAAGTGAATACAATAGCCATCCAGATTGCTTTGATATGCCTTTTGGATCGGGACACATTGGAGAAAGGCGCCCAGCGAAGCTGTCAGGGTCCATCCAGCGATAAAGACAGCAACGATCCACAGGTACAAGCGGAACGTCTTGGATGGGAAGATGGACGCGTAGAGACTAAGGATGCTGAGCTTCAAGAAGCCCATGGAGAAACCGTAGAAGCCCTCGCTGACGATAGCGAACTGAAACGATGCTCATGTTAGCAACCCACAAAGTGTAACAGACGGCATGAAAAGGGCAGAAGCTACAGGTTAACACTCACCACCTGAAGCATGTAGGGATCGGTAATGTAGATGACATGACGGCCACCACCATATGGCGTCATCAAACCAAATGCGACTGCTGTCGTCACGAAAAAGACCTGTGGTTTCGCAAAGGTAAACAACTTCACTGTAGACTGCCTGACAAGAGGCCTTGAGAGTGTCGGAGCGTACCTACCCAAGCAACGATCAAAAGCCAGTCGCTGAGGTCGAGTCGAAAGCCATTACGCTGCCACCAGCGTCCCAGGATCCGGAGGCCGAGAAACAATGTAGAGAAGAAGCCGGTGATGGTAGCGCAGGCGATGATGTTAGGAACCCGTGTGTCACTCTCATGAGTGGTCCAGTACTCCAACTGCTCCGGTGTGAAAGGTGAACCTTGGACTGCGGAACCCATGGCTAGCCTCTAGGGGAGGAGGTGTTTCCGAATCTCCTTCCACGGCAGGTACTGAATAATGCCAGGCAGAATCCGTCGATACCGGCGATCTCCAGGCCTCCACGACTCGCTGGATGCGCTGGGCAAGACTTTGTGGTATTTAGCACTCACATCTTGCCCGGCTGTTGGAAGCTGAAGTAAGATGGAACCAACTTGCAATGTCTGGCCCCCTCATTGCTGTCCTATCCTTGTCTCTCTCTGTTCCCGCTCCCGCACAGTGAACAGTGACGGGAGAAACTGAATGTACTGCGGACGGGACCAAATCGAACTCGCGCCGCAATCCTAGATGGTCAAATACAACCCGACCTGTGCCTCACAAATACTACAAGTGTGGCATCCAAGTTTACCCGCCACATTAGACTTCAGCCGTCAGCCGTCAATGTGGCTCCGAGTACGGTAACACCTGACGGTGCGGCGCGGGGGCGGAAGGGCGTCGGGTGATTGGGGCGGGTCGGTACATAACCACCAGTAGTCATAAGGTAGGTACCTTATCTGGGTGATATAAAGGCGTGTAGGTACACACCATGCGTCCTGGGCGTCTCATGCCTGAAGGTATGCAGTTGGTATTACGCCTGACGTGCTGTGTGTGCCAACCTTTTGCTTGAGACTGTGCCGTCGGCATGCTTGTGATCAGTGTTGGATAACGCCGGGAATAAGCAGAAAGTTAGGTGCTGCATACAATAATGCTAGGTAGGGAGGTAGGTTGGCGAAACCCAACATAAGCGAACCAAATGGTTCCCGCTTCTTTGTTGACAGGATTTCCCGTCGAAACCTCAATTGCCAGCCAAGGTTCGGGAGTGATTCGCGGAACCGATGTCAGCTATCAGACGCATCTCGATTACCTGGAGACAGTTCCAATACCTTGATGTCGCTGGTACGTGGGTAGGAAATACACCTAAGCCACGGGCCGTACCGGGCTGCACGACATCTCTTGAGTCTTGATTCGGACTCTTCTTGAGTTGCGGTTAGGTGCCGCCCCCGCATGGTGCTGGCCTAGTCCCTTTCGTTTGGCGCTTTAATCGGGTGTAAGTGTTACTCACGTTACTGTAACGAATGATCTGCGTACGCACGGCCGAAAGTGAAGATCTTGGTACCTAGACAACAACTTGGATTGATTCTGTGATGATGGAGGAAAGCAACTGTGGCGTTGCTTGATAGGTATCTAGCTTTTAAGGTGTGCTAACCGCTTGTGGAAGTGGGCTGCCTGGCACTGGCACCTGCCAATTGTAACACTTAGTGTACAGTGGGCACTGAGCACTGGGCAGGCAGGTGCCAGGCAGCCCACTTCCACAAATCGGCTTAGCGCATTTTAGCAGAGGGAGATCGCAAACGCCACAACCTACGTTGCGGTTCCTTTCCTCCAGCTATCGCAGAACCATTCAATTCACATCAGGCTTCAAGACGCGAGACTAAGGCCAGGTATATGGTGTTTCCCTGTAATGGGGAAGTACTAGGAACTCAGTGATATTGGGTTTTGCTCTTCTAACCTCGGCAAGAGCTTCTTTACCAGTACTTTGACTAGGCAGCCTTCGACTCCTTCTCTCCTTCCTTCACGATTGCAGCGTTCTTCGTCGCGTCATCCTTATTGGCCGAGTTGTCTTCCAGGCCGTACTCGGTTTCCAATTCCTCACGCAGCGGGACATCTTTGACCACGAAGCAAAGGAGGAAACCCAACAGCGCGAAGCCCATGGCCACCTGCCAGCAGCGCTTCAGCGCCTGGACGTATATGGCCGTAATGGTCGTCCGCATCTCGGGGCTCCAGTCCTGCGCGGCCGTGCCGCCGCCAATGGACGCCAGCTCGTACGCACCACCATTGAGCAGCGACTGCAACACTGTCGCATCCGAAATCTGCGCAAGTGCCAGCTCGTTCACGCGCGCGTTGAAGATGGCCGCGGGGATGGCCGCGCCCCAGACGTAGCCAAAACTGCGTACAAAGCCCCAGGCGGCCGTGGAGATGGCCTGGTCGACCTCTTCCAGCGGCGCCTGCACCGCCGGCCACGTCGTCGTGGTAAGCACCCCGAGCCCCGCCGAACAGATGCACTCTACGCCGGCCCAGTAGGCCGTCGAGGTGTTTTCATCCAGCCGCGAGAAAAGCCCGTACGTGAGCGCCAGGAGAGCCGTGCCGACGAAGAAAAAGGGTCGGTACCGGCCGTACTTGGTGGTGCCGACGCCGGCCAGGATGGCAAAGGGCATGGCGACGAAGGGAATGGGGAGGAGGTTGACGCCGGACTGCGTGGGCCCTGTCGCGAGCACGCCCTGGAAGTACACAGGGAGGAAGTAGACGGTGAAGTTGGTGAGCAAGGCGTGGAGCGAGGCGATGCCGAAGGCGCCCAGCGAGGTACGGTTGGAGAACAGCCTCAGCGGCATGGTGGGCTCTGGGATCAGCGTGGTTGATTCGATGCAGAGGAAGGCGCCGATGCCGACGAGCCCAAGAATCAGCGGCACCAGCGTCTGGTACGATGACCACTCGTACACGGTACCGCCCCATGTTAGGGCTATCAAAACGGCTACGACCGAGGCAACGAGGAGAGCATTTCCGCCGAGATCAACACGCTTGATCTTATTGAGAACGGCATCCTGCCTGTGCCGTGTTCGTAAGAAGATCCAAAGCGTCACAAGTGCAACCGCGGAGACGGGGAGGTTGAGGTAAAAGACCCTTCGAAGGCGCGGTTAATATCAAGGCAAGGTAGGTAGTTGGAGGCAAACGATACTCACCAACGCCAAGTGGCGTACTGGGCAAACAGGCCACCAATGACGGGACCGAGACATGCAGCGATGGTATACGCGAGCAAGACAATACTCATGTATTGGGGTCGCTGCCGAAGAGGCACCAGATCGGCGACGTTGATCTCGATCAAGATGCTTATGGCTCCGCTCCCGATCCCCTGGATTGCGCGGCCGGCGATAACAGTACCAAGATTCGGGCCCGCTCCGCACACGGCAGAGCCGATGGCAAAGAGAAGCGTGGCCAGGATGGTCATGCTCCGTCGGCCAAACACATTTGCCGCCTGGCCGAATAGGGGCTGGAAGGCCGTCATGGTGATGAAGTAGGCGTTGGCAATCCATATCCAGCCAGCCGATTTTCCGACGTCTTTAAGGATGGACGGCATTGCCGTGGACACAACCGTCGTGTCCAAAGCCGCCAGTATTGAGATCAACTGCATGGAAACGATGATTCCCTGCCCATGGTGGCATGTCTTGTCAGCGGTGACACTGCACCTCATGCCGCCGCATCAGATGGTATCCTAAGCGTACCCAGAATCTCCATGTTTTCTGTATTGGCTTTTTCTCTGGGATCCCGCTTTCCTGTGCCTCTGGACCAGAAGAAGGGCCGTCGTCGATGGGCGGGTGCCCTGGGCTGCTGGCTTCGGGGGGCTCGAGTTGCGGCATGGCTCCTGAGATGGAGCCTAGTACCTTAGGGTAAGGTAGGTAGAGGGCGGGGAACGGATAAACGTTCGACTGTAGGGTTCTGTGTTAGCGCCGCAACATTGCAAGTTGATGGTGGCTTACAACAGGATATGTAAGGTAGGTACTAAGGTAGCAGAGGAATGGGGGAAGGGGTTGCTCTATGTAAACCGCTTTCTGGACTTCGCCTGCAGTCCAATCACCTTTTCAGGTTGCTGAGGAGCCGAAAGCTGCCGACGGCCCGCCCTACCCTGTGCAACCTGGAAGGGTACCAACTGCATGAATATTCCTCCGGTGATTTCAATTCCCGCGCTGGGCCGCCACCAGCAACTTGAGCCGGCATTGGCTTGCATCGGTATGGTGCCCACCCTGATACTCACTTAATATCTAGTCTTACCTTCCGAGAGCATGGTATATCACTCCCTTCGGCGCATCCTTACACAGAGCTGACGAAAGCTTGCAAGGCTGACACTGCGTATAACCTTTCCAGTCAACACAGGCGCGGGGCTTCATGGGACCCGTCACGGATAAGCACAATATAGGTACCTTTAGGTAGGTAGCAAGATAGGGACAGGACCAGTCTGTATTGCTACCCCGTGCCACAGTGCCACTTATGTGGCAGTTGGAACTTTGGAGCCAACGACCGGATATAAGTGGCCTGTCACATACAGGAGGTCGCACAGCCAATGGAACGGTCACGAAGCCTTACGCGCTGGGCATCACGGGCCGTTGGGGGCCGTTTGGATGACGATAACATGCACTGGCTGGGAGGCGAACATCATTAAGGTACCTGCCTTATTTGTGCAACGAACTCTCCCGTGGATTCGGCCTTGTTATGTACTTGTACTAGTATATGTCAACATCACTTATAACGTCGAATACGCCGGCAAATACCTAAGTACCTAAGGTAGACGGCGATCCGATTCGCGCCGTCCTCATGGCTTTCGATGCCACAAAGAACGCTCTTCCCCTCCGTCAAACCTGCAACCGATGCCGTGACCTAAAGGTTCGTTGTCAAGGCCGGCGCAGTTCCCGCGTAGGGGGCGAACTTGGTCTCGACAATGATGCTGCCACAGTTACCATCTCACCCTGCTTGAGATGCGCACGAGCTGGAGCTGTTTGTGAGTATGCTTGTAAGTTGTTACCTGCTCCAATATGAATTGCAAGCGTGAATATCACAGACCGATATCCTAACCATTTCTCCAGCAAGACAGCCCAGCGGCCGGCCACGCACTAGTAACAAGGTACGACGGAACACAAGTTCGTCATCTTCACCAGAAGTACCAATGCGAGATTGTTCTGTTTCGGACCAAACTCAGCCCATTGGACCCCTTGCCTGGGTTTTCTCGCCTCAGGGGCAATGGTCTGAGGCGCTCTCCGACCAGGGTCTGGACGGATTTTCAGCCCTACTGGAAGAGCACCGTGTATCAATTCCGGAATTCATGCTCGGCCATGACGATTCGGAGCAATCTCCAGATGACATACCGACTCCTCCTCCACCAAACCCAACGTCTCTGGTTTTGCCGGTTTCTGAAGCATCCGTGATCCTGGAGGAACCTCTACGGCAACATGAAGAGTGGCTCCATTCAGAGCCCGACATGGCGGTCTTTGAAGAAATGAAGCAGCTTATGGAGCTCAATCGGCGCATATACGAGGTTAAGGCACGGGCGGGCACGGCACCACCAACGCCAGGTCTTTGCGACGACATAACCAGCATCACACGTTCTTTGCTAAGGAAAATGGAACAGGCTGGGCAGGGGTCTAGGGGACATCGCTGCGACAAGCATCCCTTATTCCCACAATTCTCCCCCGGGGGGCTTGCAGGCCTTCAGACCAAGCGGCTGGACGCTCAAATTCGCCGCCAGGCCATCGACCTCTCCATGTATCCGGAGGACAACTATGATGTAGGATGCGGCGGCGTCGACGCCAGCATCTTCCTCTACATATATGGTAAGGAGCCGTCTTTCCAGGGGTCCTCATGTCAGGGGGTTGCACTTACAAAAGCAATTAGCCTGCTATCAGCGCATCTTTGACCTGTTCAAGCACGTGTGCCTCTCGATTCATACGCATATTGAGGAAGCCACGGTGGCGCAATCCTCATCCACTGCGCAGATCGTCATGGGCACCGAACTGATCAGTCATTTGAGCGGGCGGCTTACACGCGGGTTACACCAACTGACATCGAAATTGACTTCTGGTGCCTCTTCATCTTCTCCATCGGGCTCTTCTACGAGGACGACGCAGTCTCCGGTATTCAACAACACTACAGTCACGGGCTCCAGCATATGGCCGGCTGCACAGGGCGGCAACAGCTCGGTTACTTGTCAGGACAGACCATTGGGCGGCCATAGAAATCGAGCTGGACACAGGAGTTCGTGTCATCAGGAAGTCGTAGCCATTGTAGATGTTATGGCTCAACGACAGGCAGCATTACAGGAGCATATTATGGCCATAAAACAATCCATTCAAGAATCTGATAGCATCTGATCTGACGTCAGGGGCGTTGATTATCGGTGTACCTAGGATCTATTTGTACATACTACATGATGAGCCTCTGCATAGGTACCTTAGCTTACACAACGCAGCTGGTACACTGAATATCGCTAGCCACTACGAACCTAGGCGGGTTATTATCACTCAGCTTGTAACTCGAAGTCAATACTGTCACTATACACACCTACTTGTTTGCATCAGTGGCTAAAACGGCGGCAAATTCAGCACATCGTGTTTTGTCCAGGGGTAAAAAGCGCGGGACATGGAGCCAAACAGGATCTTCATTCTTCGGTCTTAAGTTGGCTTTCCTTCCAGGTCCAAAAGCTGCAACCCTTTATGTAGCTGCTATTTGGATGAGCGCTTTCAAACCGCTTCCTCTCTTTCAGAAGTCGCTTCCTCTTCTAAGTACTAGGTAAGGTAGTGCTTGAGGTGCACCTCTCATGTTATGATAGTTAAGGTACCGCTGATACTACCATGACGCAGAACTTCCCAGTCACCCTCAAGACATAACGCACAAGAATGCAATGAAATAGCATACCCAGGACGGAAAATCCGCAACCAGCCCTCTAATGGCATTGATTTTCAGCCACTTTGCCATGGCCGCCGTGTTATCAGCCTTGGGATCATCGTCCACGCCCTTGTCCTGTCCCACAAGATTGAGACAGGCCATGGCGGCAGGGCCAAAGGGGAAGTGCAGCACACTCAGCACCATCCCCGCGGTATAGAAGGCAGCGGCCGCGCGGGCCCGGGGCGCGGCGTCGCCGGCGAAGCTCAGGGACCCGTCGTCCTGCCGGGCAAGGTTGGCGGCCGCGGTGGCGATGCTGAGCGGGTAACTGAGGAAGATGAAGGGCAGGCCGCGCCGGACAAAGGTGTTATGTGCCGGCAGAATGCGGTTCGCGTGCCGGCGGAGCTCGGTCGCGGGGGCAGAGGGCCCCGTGTGCACCAGCGGCCGGATAAAGGTGTCCTCGGAAAAGGTGAAGGTGATGTAACTGGTTGCCGACAACAGCGGCGCGACACGGAGAAGGGCGAGGCCGGCCATGAGGGTTGTTTCGTTCCAGTAAATTCAGTCTATCCTACTGCATTAGCAGGTATTCTTGTTTTGCTTTTGTGTTGTGTTTTCGTGTTTGTCCTCCCCGGACTTGCCTTTCCCCTCCTTGCCCCTAATTCCGCGTACCATCTGTCTTGATGCAGATCGCTGTTGGTTGCTTCAGCCTTCCGAGATGTAGGTCGCTTAACTTGCATGCGCTTCTTGTTGGTGCCAAATGCGGAATGTGTTACTAGTAGGTGACACTGCGGCTGCATGGAATATAATATCACCCAACAATGAATGACACATGCTCACCGCGCCGCTTCCTTGCACGCCGCTGAGGTAACGGGAGAGGCAGGGAATCTTTAGGCTACATGTAGCCGACGGGCTGTTGGGCGGTTCGGGCGAACGTCTGGTCAGCCTGCTGGCTGCAGGTGAGGTGGTTTAGCAAACATACCGACTGGAATTCCGTGTCGGTAGATTCCATGCTGTATGCATGCCGTCGTATCCGTTTGTCCAAGTGCACCTAACTTGTATTGCTTACCTGGACCGTTGTCACCACATATACACGGACTTGATTCAATTCGACCGAGCCTCATTTCTTCTTACACCTTTTCCCCGGCACGGTAGACAACCTCACCACCCAGACACTACTAGACTTTCTGGGCCTCCAACCAACCTTGAACTTTGCCAAGGACCCAACATTCGACATGGCTGAGCAGCAACAGCAGATGCCGATGCTCAAAATCTCAATGCTCCACCATCGGGACAGGTCCAAAGATGAGGAGACCTGGATGAAATGGTACCTCGAGGAGCAGATTCCACGCTTCATTGCCGTGGTCCATAAGCATGGAATTGAACGTTGTGAACTTGTAAGCACACTCCCACCCCTATCCAGTCTCTGACTCTCCTTGCATGTGGCTATGCTCGAGACCGTATGATAACACAAGAAAAGTACTTGACACCAGACCCGTTCAAGGAGAAGTTCCAGGCCGACCTGGATACATTCAAGGGGGGCCGCGACGCGGGATGGAAGATGGCGTCGTACGACGCGGCCACAATCTATTGGGTGTCAGACCCGCAGAAGCTCCGCAACTTGGTCAGCGACCCGGAGTATCAAAAAATCATTGAGTTTGAGAAGGGCTGGATCGACCAAAACAGAGTCGACGTGCAAGCCGGTACGCAATACACGTTCATCGAGAACGGCAGCATAGTCAACACCGTCACAAAGGCGTACGACTAGGTCCGATGGACTGCCCGAGAGCGAAGCGGGGGATCCGTCCAACAAGCGGCGTGGATACATGTAAGGTAGTCGTGGGTCAGCCACGAGGTTGTGGCGAACATGTTGCAAAAGAATTGAAACATGAACATTACTCCGCTAAGCCTCGTTAACTTCGGCATCATTGGGTCCCTGAAATTACCCACTTCCTCTCAACCGATAGTATGGGTTCACTCAGCTCAAGCTAAGTGTACCTTAGGTACTTAGTAACTCAACCACCATTCGGGTGTTTGGATACCTACCCGTACCTGACCTAAGGTCTGGTACATAGCCCTGTGTTCCCAGCGGCTGGCTTTTCCTTAGCAATTAGCAACGTGAAAGTGTACAGAGCCTGAGGTTGGTTTGAGCATGATACTCTATGAAGTTCTGTGCCCCTGAACCTAGGTACCTACCTGCTGCTTTGGGGGGATAGGTACTTAGCAAGTACTCGTAGTATAAGATACACTGGGCCTAAAGCTCGACAGTATACAGTCGGATCGATTGTTATTCACTTCGGTTTATTTTACTCCTTAGATCTTGGTAGTAATATAGACCACCTGCTAGCTTCCAAATTTACCCACCTTCTAGGACCTTGCAAAAGTTGCATGCTTGGGTAATAAGTGAAAGCAGTAGTAATGTGAGCGTTCTATGAGTCCCCTAATAGGTCCTAGTAGTTGGGTCATGCAGAAGATGTCATAGGAGTAAACACAATACTGTACCCGTACTACGTACTGCTAGGTACCTTAGGCTATTGGTACTACTGGTCTTTTTAAAGCAGCAGAAAAGACAATGCACCACGCCGCTATGGCTCCAACGTGACATGAGGTACAAAAGGTGAAGGGTCAAGGCTGCCAAAGACACCCTCCCTATCACCCCAAACCCATTCCACTGTTCTTAGGTACCTTATCCATCAGCTACGTGCCCCTGGTTGTTTAAGCCCTTGCCCCTTTTCATGCCTCACACCAGGAGAGTTCCGCATTCTTGCTTTCCCCTGGTTGCCATTCAACTTGTCGCCTATAGAAGCATGCCCCGGAGTTTCAGCTACAATGTTGGCTGACAGCCTCGCGGCCATCTTAGGTCCGACTATGTGTCCCCTGGGGCCGGGGCCGGAACTGACTGGTAGCAATTTTGGACACAGTACAGACAGATCGCGCAGCGAACATAGAGTCTTGATCCACAGTGGCCTCGACAAATCTGGCAATTGCAATGGTAAATTCTTCTCGACTTTTCGCAAACGGGCGGCGATGTCCGGCGTTCCTGGCAGCTCGATCGACTGTTCGACATGATGGATATTCTAGGTAGTAGGTACTGCTTGAAATTTCTTCGTCTCGGGTCTTGGTGTAGAGAAGAAGGTCACCGTTGAATATCTAGAGCTTTCAAATTCGCAGTTGAAGACTTAAAAGACTTTAAGATTTCTCAATCTGGAGGACACGACGGGTTGCAAGAGATGTCCGGTCGTAGGGTAAGGTGGAGATGCTTTATATCCGGTCTATAGACATCTACCGTGACCTTAATCTTGACATCAATGACAACAACTGTCCTGCCAGCGATGTGGTCAGCTATAGCCCGAGTAGTATGAGTCAAGCAGGTGAGCTGTCAGGTATCAGACCAAAAGGGGAGGCAGAAACTTTAAATTCAGCACAGCCGTAAGGTAAGTACGTGCCACGGTGTTGATAAGTTGGACTTCATGTTAGGATGCCTGCCCTTTTGCTCCAAATGTGTCCGCGGACTACGGATGTGGTTACTACTAGCATCTATTCAGTTCACACTCTACAGTAAGTACGGAGGAAAATTCAGGTATATGTCAGTCTCATTCCTTACGCTAAGCTCTCATTCTCGAGGCCATCCTAAAGTATAGCCTGTGTTGACTGCAGTGCAGAAGCATGCCTCGGTGACACCCGGGTGCCTGCCTGACTGCCTCATCAGAACTTCATATAGCAGTCTCTGAGGCAGAACTTGCAGATGGTATAATCACGCGCAAGTCTGGTCGGGCAGTGGCCTTGGCAGAACCGGCATTGGCATCGGTAAACCCTTTGCGTTTTGTCGCTCGGGGGTGGCAAGGCCGAGTGTTCCTGGCTATCCGACATTGTCGGCTTAGGTATTTGGTGTTGTTCAGGTACAAAAGGTACCTGGGGTGGTTTTGATCCTGGAAGAGTTGGCGCTCAATGACAATAACTCGCAACTTGTTGTTTTTTTGCCTGCCAGGCTCCAAGTCACGATGGGATTGAAGAGAGGTCTGATCTGGTTCTAGGAGACGGTGAAGGTGCTTTTTTTATGCCACCAAATATAATGCCATCTACCTGAATTGTCTTCAGGAACAACTAGCCTGCCAACAATAACGTCAGTTAGTACTGGTTAAATAGGTACCTATGTCAATAGGGTGGTCTCAAATTCTCAGTCAAACAGCTAAGTTGCCATGAGCTCGCATGCCCGCCCTTCTGCTACTAGCACTCGATTTAGTTTCACGCAATCGAGTCACTCTTAATGGTGTCACGTACGAGTTTAGATTGGACTGGATCTGTCAGTCGCCCCCCTGACAACGCCTTTTCAAACCCACTGGCACTTCCTTAAGTCAAGTCACAAAATACCTGAGGTTATGGAACAGGCAGATAAATACATATTGTCCGTGTTACGTAACTTATTCCTCCCGTGGATCATCCTATTTCTGCCATGTTTCAACCGTACGAGCGCACGATATACTGCTGTTTCTCTCGGTGTGGACGGACTGCCCTTTATGGACGCCTCAGCCCTGCACCTCGTCCTTCCTCGCGGCAAAGACTTTGGATGATCTTCATGCGGCCATTGATGTCTTTGCCAGAAGGACTGCCACCTTGATCCCGGAAGTCCGGAGGGACACTGAGATGTGTTAGGTGTGATAGGGCGTTATGATTTAGTCACAGATGCAGTGAGATGCCAATTGCCAGAAAGTTGAACTGCTTAGCATCAGATATCTACTACTAGTACATGCATTTCATCATTCCATCTTTATATTCATTCCTCTCGCTGTTCTAATACTTCATTATGCCATCGCGTTTTAGAAACCCCCTGTATGGTATACAAGATAGCAGGTACTAATAATCCGCCTACTCCTGAAATAGACCGCAACATGCAAGCTGCGGATGGGACATGTCCCAGATATGGTGTCCTGTTAAACCGGCGCCCTCTCAACGCCTTCAAACCATGCAAAGCCCTCGGCTTCAAAAACGCTGACCCGCCGAACGGAATGGGAGCTAACCTTAATACAACTCTAGACGCCAAAACAAGCCATCTGCAAATTACTCGATCCTTAGGAATGTGGCTAGAGTCTGCTCTAGCTTTGCGAATGATAACGGCTTCGCAAGGAAATCGTCGGCTCCAGCACTCTTGAACTGGGCTCTTGATTCTGTGCTCACCACCGCCGTCAAGGCAATGATCGGATGCCGCTTAGATAGTTTGCCGCTGTTTTCCAGAAGGCGAATCTCCTGTGTCGCAGATACGCCGTCTTTCACGGGCATTGAGTGATCCATGAGGATCAAGTCGATGATTGCGTCATGTTTCATGACCTGTTCGATGGCCTGATCGCCGTCGTTGGCGAGCAAAACTGAGTATCCCAGAGAGGAGAGCATCTTGATACATAGCTTTTGGTTGACCTGGAACCCTCGTGTCAGCGTGCTATCATTCTGTCAATTTTGTTGAGGGGTCACACTCACCGCATTATCTTCAACCAGGAGGATGTTGACGGTCCCAGGTGTAACGCTCTCCTCTTCGGGACGCAGTTTCTGCCAACCGTTCCTTACTTCAATCTTGGGGTTGGCCTCCACCGGTGGGGGGTTCTTAATAGCAGCGGCGGCTTGAGAAGCTATAGCAATACGCTTGTAGAAGGTATGCCATATTAGAGGCTTTGGAAGCGGAACAAAATGTGGCGCCGAGAGTACGCCAGGAAGCTGCTGCAGCGACTCCTGGTGCTCAAACGGCACGAACGTTGTGAGGTGCTCTTGGCTCAGCAAGTGCCGTAAACATTCGGTATTCTCTGACAGGTATCGAAAGTCGGCCCATGCATATTTGATTTGGTAATTCGCCAACTCGGAGTAGTGGTGAACGACAACTGTTTCGTAGCCGAAAAGCTGCCACGCTATCTTCAGTCCCTCCAATAAGCGCGGAGGTGGAGAAAACAGCGCGACGGTGCTCGGCTCCATGTTGTGTCGTGACGCAGGCTGGGGTGCTGGTGACATCTGCACTGGTATCCGGATCGTGAAAGTGGTCCCTGTTTCGTTAGGACTGAATCCATCGTCCACGTGCCGGCTCTCCACGGAGATATCGCCTTGCATCTTTTTCAAGAGTTGCCTGACGATGCTGAGACCAAGACCGGTCCCTCTCTGTGTTCCCCGAGTCTTCGCCTGCGTAAATGGTTCGAAGAGCCGGGGAACAAACGACGATGGAATGCCGGCACCCGAGTCCCGTACTTTAGCGATCAGGTCACCGTCCTCCATCTCCAAGCTCAGCATAACGAATCCGTTGCTGGTGAACTTGAGAGCGTTCGAAAGCAGGTTCACTAAAATCCGCTGAATATACGCCTCGTCGAGCAGGAGGGACTCCGGAACACTCGGTTCCACTACAGCCAGGACCTCGACATCATTTTGTTCGTCTTGATGCGGTAAAAGGACGAGGATGGACTCGAAAACTGATCGCATATCTGACGGGGCCAAGCGGCAGGACGCATCTCGGTCGCTCTCGAGTTTCGACCAGTCCAGGACGTTGTTTGTGACTAGATAGGGTTAGAGGAGTGAGTAACCTGACGATGGAGGTCGGCTTACTGAGAGATAGTGTTTTGGTTGCATTCTGAATCGACATCACAAGCTGACGCGCATCGTCACTCAGATTGGCTTTCGATAACAGATCGCTGTAGCCTTGCAGATGATGAAGAGGCGTCCGAATCTCGTGAGAAGCGGACGCGATGAAATTACTCCTCGCCGCTGCCGCTAACTCGGCGTTCTCCTTTTGCGCCAGCGCCCGCCATAGCTTTCGCCGTGTCAAAACGATTTCTGCAAGTTTGTTGCGCGAGACGGTTGCATTATGCGCGAGCAGACCATTAGCCAGAGTGCAAGTCAGGATAGCGACGGTGCAGACAGCAATTGGAAGCTGTAGAGGATATCCTCCGACTTGAGCAGCCGGAAGCCGGGACCAGAAAGTGGTTGCTCGTAATCCTAACGTCGTCAGTCAGTATGGCAAAGGGCACCTAGCGGTAACCAAGTAAGGATCGCAAAGGTCTCACCTGTGAAATGCATGGCAGCTATGCCCGAAGCAGCAATCGCGGAGAATAACACCTGTTGACTGAGATGGGGTTCGATGGTGGTCATGTAGATGTATCCCGCGATACATACTACCCAAGAAATGATAGCGGAAGCGATAACCAGTGCCGGGTTGAAGGTTAGTCGGCCTTCCGGGATGTTCATGGCCATCAAGCCTCCGTAATGCATGCACGTCAGTGAAAGTGACCAGACAAGGCCCATCACTACAGCTTTCCAGGACATGCCACTCAAGATGCCGTAATATGTCGCGACGAAAGCGTTCTGTGTTGGGGCAGCCCCGTGGTCGGCCATACTTTTGAGGTCCAGCTGACTTGATCCGATTCTCAACTCGGACTGTGATCCGGCGCCTCGGGGTTCGCTTGACGAATTATCCACCGAAAGTGAGGGATCTGAGGCACGACGAGGAAGGTTTGATATGCCCGAGGAAATGACTGTCGGTAACGCCTCAGCTCGCTGTGGAAGGGCATCGATGCGGCCGATTTCAATATCCCCTTCCCCGCTTATACGACTGTTGGTTGAGTCGTCCCCTAAAAGGGGCATCGAAGAGTCCCCATCTGGTAGATTCACCCCGTCCGTCACGATGGGATGTAATTTGCGCTGGTTGGCGGCATTTCGCCGCTTGTCGGCCTTGTAGCGCTTCCATAGCAGTTCGGCTCCAAGTGCGGCGAAGGTGAATGTGACAGCAAGAACCGCGCTGAGGACGGTAGCGCCGATATCCAACCCAATGGGCAAGTCTAGCTTGCAAGACAGCATGCCCACAAAATGCAGACTCCATGAAGCGCAGAAACCGAACGTCAGACTGATAATGGCGATCCATGTGAGGACGGTGAGGAAGTTCGACGATAGCTGCGCTTGGATCATGCTATATCATAGCGTTGACTTTGATCAGTATGGCACTGAACCGCGCGATATTGGGAATTGGACAGGCGGTAAGAGTAGGAACTTACAGCTGGGTCGACGTAAAGGTGCCGAGGAACGAGACAAAGAAGGCAGCGACAATGAGCCACCAATCAAACTCCTTTTCGAGCCGTCGATAGCCATCTGAAGCATCCATCCTGGCGCGTCGTTGCCGGCTTGATGGAAGGCCACGGAGACAGGCAACAGGCGCTACCAGCTACCTGGCACTCGGAAAGGCGCCTCCGTACCGCGCAAGCGTGGAATTGCGTTCCGACAGGGCCAAATTCGATGTCGGCAGTAAAATAGGCGAGATTGTAGACCGTCTCATGGTACTCTAGATGTAGCACATGATGTTGACGAAGTTGCGGTCGGCGGAATTGTCAGGTGGTGTTTTAGCTCAGATGCGTGAAAACTGAAAAGTTGGATGTCGGAGGCCCTGGAGTGGCAAGCGCAGTTTGCAGTACACGCGCTACAGTTCGACTTGTGTTCTCTGCTGTGGTAGATCGGAGTGATCCACACAGGGGTCCGCTATCCCCACCAAAATTCCCAGCTCGCAACGCAAAAGTTACCGGCATTTGCCCACCCAACAGGCTGGCAAAACAGAGCTGAGCAACGCTGTCTGAAAGCATAGAGATAGCGAATTGGCGTTGAGAACATAATAACCTCAATTCTACAAGCTCAAAACACTACCTGGCCTGACCGCCTACCCCCGCTCGCGAAGTGACGGTCTGGACGCCTGAAGTTGCTTTTCTTGCCGAACGCCAGAATAGTCTAGCCTTACATGGTTAGCGTGTTCCTAGATGACATCATAGCCTTGAGGCTGGGACAGACATACGATACAAATATCGGATTGCACATCGCCATGACATCTCAAATCGCCATCTTGTTCAGGGGCATGCATGCAATCCCGACACGTCGCATCTCGCAACACGCATCACGCATCGCTCGAGTTGCGCTCAATGTCCAACATCCTTTATATTATTCTCCCATGGGCCGTCTCTAGTGCATAGCTTTAGTGCTGTTGCTGCTTGCTGCTTGAATCGCCTCGCCAGTGTCGCATTGCTTGTGGCTAGCGGTTCGGACGGCTTGATTGACCCTGCTTAGCCTTTAAGCTTGCCCCTGGTTCGGTTGGGGTTGAGGTCCGGTATCATTGTAAGTTCGCACGTGCAATTGACTGACACGACGCGGCTTAAATAGGGGTCGCGTATTGTTGAAGCGATTCAGATTGAGAAAGAGAAAGCCTTGGGCATGACAGCATCCCGCTGAATGCCATGACGATGGAAATGCGATGCAATTTTGAAAATGTCATGTTGTGCCGGTGCCATTGGTGTGTGGACATGATGGGTGGACATGTTGGGGGCACTAGGCCGTATGTGGCTAAGCTCCGGTTTCGTGTGGACAGTCTGCTCCGGTTCAACCCAAGGAAAAGCTTGGTCTATGGCATTGATTGGTGACTCGTCGCTTTTGGTAAGGTATCATTCGCAGGTTTAAAAAATTAATAAACGGCAGGTTCATCTCTCATTGTGCCTTGGCCTCTTGAATCACTCGCTGGTGTCAGGATCGGTCCAGAGCCCAGGCACATTTATTGCTGCACTTGTTGCTTGAAGCCACTGCAAGTTGAGGCCAGGAGCTGCTGAACCAGTGGTTACGACTTACCACCGCAACCTTAACCTGACCCTATCGATGTGGACGAGTTGGACCGACTCAAGTATTGTATGTGCTTCCACTCCGTTGGACGTACTACACCCTGGTCCCCCTTGGTTCCCGAAACACACTTCTAAGCTGCCGTGAATTATTAAATGTCCATGACAGCCGCACTTGGGACAGCTGACTTTCGACCAAGCAATGTCGCTCGACCAACGAGGTTGGGTACATGCGAGGTTCCAGCGGAGGGATTGCCAGTTCGCCACGGCCTGACGTGTTTAGGCCGTGCTCTCTGCTCAGATATCGAAGCGCGGTTGGCTTAGCGGTTGGTAGCAACTGTAGGTTGCTTGGGCTCGCCGCTTGGGACATTTCCAGCCCAATCCGAACTCGATAAGGCATCTGCTTCCCGTGAACTGAGTTTACATTCTTCCGCCTTTGTGTCTTGACAAGTTCACTGCTGCGCTGCCGACCGCCGTCTGCCGTTGCTTCGCCTCGGTCGTATATACAGCCTTTTGGGCCTGCCCTGGTGTAAGCTTGAGGTTCGGTCGCCTGCTTAAGCCATGAGCAGAAGTCACACACTCACATAACCCTTCCATCGTCGAGATATCCTAGTCCTGAGACACAATGTTTTTCCGACAACCCGGACACGCGCCCGAAGCGGCCGGTAAGATATACCGACTGGCGACGCCGGAATCCTCCAGCGGCTCGGAGACGTCCTCCATCGCCGAAGCGCACCACGACCACGACCGCACACAAGCCCAACAAGATTACAATAGCAACGGTAACATGAACAGCAAAACCACTGCTTCAGCCCCCGATAACCGTCACCTCTCATCGCTCCCACTCCCATCGCCACTCCGACCGAGTTCCCCAACCCGCCCGTTCTCACCCGACGACTACCTCTCAAGCCTGCACCCGTGCCTCGTCCTCACCCGCGACGCGACCCCGTGGCCACACGCGCCCAGCCCCAACCGCAACCCGCGCCCCTTCCTCATCCTCACGCACACTAGCAATGCCACCACCGACATCAACACCGACACCAACACGGCCGTGACGACCAGGGCATTGACACTAACCGACGGCGCGCTCCGCCTTCTGCCCGTGTCGCCGGCCTCCGTGGCGCAAGGGAGCTGGTACTGGCGGTGCGTGGAGAACGCCGAAACGGGGTGGTTGGGCCTGTGCAACGTCGCGTCGGGGACCTACCTGGGCCACGACTGCTTCGGCAATGTGCGCGCGACACAGCCGCACCATCGCGGGTGGGAGTATATCTGTCTGAGGCGCTGCCCCGGGCCTGGTGGCCGTGGACGAGGGGGTGGGTACGTTATGGATTTGGTCGTTGCCGATAACAATGGTGGAGATGGGTATGGGAGGCTGATGAGGGTTGCGGAAGCGAAGGGGGAGGAGGAGGAGGAGGAGGGGAGGTTGGTGCTTGTTGATCGTCGGGATCATGATGGGGGAGGGGACGGGGTGGTTTGGGAGTTTGTAGAGGTTGGTTTGGCCTGTTAGGGCGTTCTGGAGAGATGCTGCCGAGTGTTGTGTGATGCCTCGATAAGGCCTTTGGTCTCAGGTTCGGACGTGTAGGTTGCGACCAGTCAGTTGACATCACGCACCGTGCTGGGAAAACCTGAGTGACAATCTCAGACTGACGGTCCCGTTAAGAGGGGTAGTCGAGAGGATCGTTTTTGCATACAGAAATTTGGCCTCACTAACAGAAGTCGCAGCCTCCTTAGGTACTGTACCTACGCTTTCTCCCGCATTCCGAGGGAAGGTACGGACCACACATTTCAAGCTGCCATCATACCAGACCTTCTGGTTGCCTTGCCTTAAGATGCCCTCGGCCCCTGCCAAGGCGCACACGGGTGAAGGATCATCCATCACCTTAGGCTTGGTACGGACGACATTTCGGTCGTGAAGATTGCGTCCAGTACACCAGCTCTTGAGTCCTGGACTCCTGGCCTCCTTCGTCCCGCGGATACTGTGTGCTTGCAGTGGACAGAAAGTGGCTCACCGCGTCAGCCTGTCAGGCAGACGACGCAGTCCTCTAACCTGGAATTAGGAGGTGCGAGATTGACAGCAACTGTGGTTGTTGCAGATTGTGCAACCGCAGTTCACCACACTTGGCGGCACCTGTTGCCGTCAATAATCCATGCGGGAGCCGGCATGGATTCTGGGCAGGTGCTGACGGGCAGGCAGCATGGGTCGCTGCCAGATGTGCTTCGCCCCGCAGAACCGTCCAAGTTTCGTGCCTGGCCGCCGCCAACTGCTGTAACCCCTAGATTTTCGCGACATCCAAAGTTTTGCCATGGCGGGATGGCAAAACCTGCATACACATACCTACGGTAGAACTTATGACGGGAATGGTATTTACCCCGCAATCTGCCGCGAGAATACGCCCTGCTAAGCCATTTGAGTCTCGGAGAAGTAACAGCCGAATGTGAAAGTAACTTATGTTGACATTCAGGTGTAACTTTGCGGCTTGCTGAGACGCTACCCTCAAGGTCCTCGATCATCGATGCACGTCAACACGATGACCCCAGATTTGGGGGACGATCGCGAAGGGCAATTGCAGTCTTTCCTGGCAAAGGCATAGACTGCATCTTCACCTTCGCTCCAATTGACCTCCGCTAGACTCTCCGGTTCCTTTCCTATCACAACACGATTGCAAGGGGTTATGGACCTGGAGAAGACTCATGTCCCTCCCTCCTGCACGGCACAGGATGTACCGACAAGCCGTTGGAACAGGACGAGCCGGGTCCGCAGATCTAGGGTGCAGCGCTTGTTCGGCGTTGCATGCCTGGCATTCATTGCCTATGCGCAATGGAGACAAATCTCGTCGCCAGGGCCAGACCCAGCATCTGCCCCAGATGTCACAGTGCATGGTCTCTCGATCAAGAGGCTGCAGGAGGATCTCAATGTGTGCGCTAAGCTACATAAGAAGCCAACTGACCCCATAGGATATGGTCGTGAGAGAAATGCTCGTTATGTCGACGGTCACAGGCCCACTCTCATCCGCAACGCCACTGTCTGGGTTGGTGAACCAGACCGTGAAAATGGCGACTCCTCCTGGATAACGGCCGATGTCTTCATCGAGCATGGTCTGATCAAGCAGGTTAGCCGCGACCTCGACCCGCAAACGCTGCCGAGCGATGTGTCGGTCTATGACGCCGCTGGTCGGCCCCTGACCAGCGGAATCATCGACATGCACAGTCACGCCGGGGTGCACTCACTGCCAACGATACGGGCCAACGATGATACCAGCGAGCTCTCGACAGATATTACGCCCTACGTGCGCACCATCGACGCCATACAGCCGACCGACTACCAGCTTCAGGTGATCAAGTCCGGAGGCGTCACGACCTCCTTGGTCCTCCCTGGCTCCGGTAACAATATCGGCGGCGAAGCCTTTGTCATCAAACACGCCGTTGGCCGCGCTGACGGACGCAACGAAATCAGCATCTCGGACCTCCTCGCGGACCCAGACCGCAACTGGCGGTATATGAAGATGGCATGCGGCGAGAACCCCAAGCACATCCATGGAAAGGTTGGCGAACGTGGCCCAACGAGCCGTCTCGGCGAAAGTTGGGAGCTTCGCCACGCGTTCAAGCAGGCCTCTAAACTTCTTCAAGAGCAAGACGACTGGTGCCAGGCCGCGTCCCGGGACCTGAACAGGGTGAAAGGATATCTGCCCAACGAGATACGATGGGAGGCACTAGTTGGGGTCCTTCGAGGGCAAGTCCATGTAAATGTCCACTGCTATACTGTGCCAGACTTGGAAGCCTTCGTCGATCACACCAACGAATTCAAGTTCCCTGTGAGGGCATTTCACCATGCCCACCAGGCGTATCTCGTGCCAGAGGTGAGCCCTCCAGCCAATTTTTTGTCACTTTGTGCGCTGCAGCGGCAGAGGTCATCTGGACAAGGGGAAACTAACGGTTCGAGCCAGGTGCTGAAGCGAGCCTGGGGTGACGATCCGCCAGCTTTAGCCCTCTTTGCGGACAATATGTGGTACAAGGCTGAGTCTTACATCGCCTCTGAATATGCGGGCAAGCATCTGTATGACAACGGCCTTGTCCCAATTTACGTCAGCGACAATCCGATACTCAACGCCCAACACGTTGTATTGGAAGCCGCAAAGGCGTACAAGTACGGACTCCCGTACCACGCCGCCCTCGCCTCGGTGACCAGCGCCCCTGCCGAGAGACTGGGCTTGGGCCAGCGGCTCGGCAAGGTAAAAGCGGGTTTTGACGCCGACGTTGTGGTGTGGGACAGCGACCCGCTCAGTCTCGGCGCCGCCCCGGTGCAGGTATGGATCGACGGCACGGCGCAGTACGAGCACCCGTTCGAACTCAACAAGTCGTTCAGGGGCACCATCACTCCGGATCCGAACCTCGCCACCATTGTCGAGAACCCAACCGTTCTCCATGGAGATGTAATTTTTACGGGGATTACCAAGCTGCTGATCCCCAATGATTCCAACTCCAACCTCCCAATCACCAGCCCCGCGAATGTCCTCCCCGCCACGTTCAACCTGACCATCTCCGAGGGCAGAATCACCTGCCTCGGCATCTGCCCCTTTCCTCCCAATACTACCGATACCGCTAGCATCAAAGCCACCACACGAATCATCCATTTGCGCAACGGACATATCACGGCCGCCTTCACCGCCATCGGGTCCACACTCGGCTTGAACTCAATTGACGACGACCGCACGGCAACAGACAACGGCGCAGGGCCCACCTTCAGCCGCGCACTCGACGGTTTGGCGCTCGACACAGCCAAGCTGCGCGCCGCGCAGCGCTACGGCGTGACCCGCGCTATCTCCGCGCCCAAACTGCTCCCCGGCGACGTCCGCTCGCATCATGGTACGAGTGTTGGGTTCTTGACCGGCGCCTTGACCGTGACTGCCACTACTGGTACTACTGGTGCTGGTGCTAAGGGCGGAGCGGTCTTCCAGGAGGACGTAGCGGTGCATTACACGCTGGATCAAACCGTCAAGACGCTCAATGGAGTGTCCACTTCCGGGGAAGTGGGCAGGTTGCGAGCGAAACTGCTGCGGGCGGTGGCCGGGCTGGGTAAGGGTAGAACTACTACCGGTCACGGTACGGACCACGGTGCGGGTAGCAATAGCAATAGCAACGGCGACCCCGAGGAGAGTGACCCGGACCCGTATATAGAGGAGGCCTTCCTCAAACGGGTCGTCACGGGCGAGATGCCGCTTGCTGTGACGGTGCACAGCGCCGACACCATCCTCGCGCTTCTGCGGGTCAAAGCCGTAGTTGAGCAGCGTGCTGCTGCTACTGCTGCGGAGTCATGCCTGGTATCATCATGTGTCCAGCGGCGGGGGAGGGGGATCAGGATGGTGATCCTCGGCGGCGGCGAGGCGCACCTTGTTGCGAGAGAGCTGGCCGAGGCCGGCGTTGGGGTGGTGCTGGCGCCCATGCTGTCGTTTGGCGTGTCGTGGGACCAGAGGCGGGCGTTGACCGGGGCGCCGCTCACGAATGGGACGGGGCTGGATGTGCTTGTTGACGCTGGGGTGGTTACGGCTGTTGGACTGGAGGAAGACTGGGTGGTGAGGGACCTTGGGCTGTTGGCTGGGATTGCGCATGCGAATAGCGGAGGCGGGATTGGGGAGAAGGATGCGCTGGGGTTGGTGAGCGGGAATGTGTACAGGATGCTGGGACTGCAGGAGCCGGACGTTAGGGAGCACTTTATCATTCATGAGGGCAGTCCGCTGGAGATTGGTTCGAGAGTGAAAGTGGTGGGTGGAGGACTGGGGCATGTCGAGGTCTACTAGGGTTGCGCGGATGCCTATAAGATCTGGCAAAGCACGAACGCGGTTCGAGGGGGCGTTTTACTAGTTTCAAGCACATCCGATTGACTAACACGATTCCCAATGCGTAAATACTGGTACTACTACCAATGTTCAGGGGTAACGACTGTCCGCTGCAACATGCCCTTCGCCCGTAACCTCAATCGCAAACCACATTCCACTCCACACTCGGTTCCACTCCACACTCGGCCCGCAATGATTCATCTTAAGCGGCCGCCTTGACAGAGGTAGGCGCAGCCTTAGGCGGCTCGACCTCGGCGCCCTCGACCATGCCACCGAGCAGCATGGAGGACGGGGCGAGGGCCTGGACAGCGGCTTCGGCCTTGAAAGCAAAGAACTTCTCGTCGTGCCACTGGCCAGCGGTAATGTACCTGCCCTCGCTGTCGGTGAACATGGTCTGGTCCTCGGCGCGGAGGAAGTAGGCGATGGAGTAGCGGTGCTCGTCATAGTTCAGGGGCACGACGCGATGGATGCACGACTGCATCGTGTGGCCGCTCGCAAAGCGCAGCGAGTCGCCCACGTTCATGACGGCGCAACCTTCCTTGGGCGCGACAAAGCCGAACTCGCGGGATCCGGGCGGCCGGATCTGCAGGCCCCACTGGTCGCTGAAGAGTAGCGTCAGGGAGCTGATGTCGGTGTGCTTCTGGTGGCCAATGTTCTTGGTCTTGCTCGGGTCCGAGGGGATGTAGTGCATCATGGCGAGCGTGCTGGTCGAGGGCCGGTCGTTGCGATGCATGTTCTCGAAGCGGTCCGCGCCCGTGCGGCCCGTCCCCGTCGACAGAGCCGACAGGATCACCTTGGTGACGGTGTTGGAGTTGGCAATGGCATGCTCGAGGATCTTCATGTCCGGGCTGTTCTTGAGCACAGCGGGGATCTTGGGGCTGTCACGCTGGATCTCGTCTCGGGATACCTGTGCAAGACTTAGAGTTTAAGGGTGTCCAGGAGCAAGGCATCGCCGCGGACCATCCCACCTTGATCATCTCATAGCCGTCCCTCGTGTCGTCGAGGACACCCCGCCGTGAGCCCACGGGCTCGTATCTGTTCGTGTCAGTCTTCAAACGGGCTTCTGAAGGATGGTTCGGCGCTGCCTACCCGAGATGGGGAGCAATGAGACCGAATTCGTTCTTGGCCTCGAGGGGAGCGTCAAAGAAACGATACATGAGGTCAAGGGTCGCTTCCTTGTCCTCGAGAACCCGGCGTCCCTCAATGCCCCTGAGGTCAAGGTAAAAGAAGCCCTCCTTCTCGCAGCAGCGCACCAATTTCTCCACCTCGGCGGGGTCCTGCGAGAGAAGAAGGCTGTAGTCGACCGTCTCCATGGGATAGACGGGGACCTTGGTCCCGTTCCACTCGACGCTCTGCGGAGGATCCATTGCAATGCCCATAATGTTCAACTCTGCCCGTTAAGTTGGCACCAAGGTAGATGGTCGTGGATGTCGGCAGTTTTCAAGATGTATATGAAGTAGGACGCCCCCATATACCTCGGCTTGCAGAGCATTTGATTCTTCTTATAGCTGGCAAGCTCACCAACACTCAACCTCGGCGTTCTAGTCGAAGCACCAACTGCCGCCCCCTGATAACGTTTCCCCTCCCCCGCGTCGAGTGCATTTACCCAGCTGGGCCTAGATGTCACGTAACCTCCTCGGTCGGGGCTGCGAAACTGATCTTCTGCAACCGCGGAGCTGTGCAGCGGCTTGCTTTCCAGCATGGATTGTTGGCATTGGCCAACGAGGCATAGGCGACTCGTCTCCGAGCTCGGCCGGTGGCCTTGACATTGAGCACGTTACCAGCGGGATGTAACACTCAGCTGTGATAGTAGTGTAGGACCTCTTCCCCAGGCGGCTGATGAGAAGGTACCGAGACGCCCTTTGGATGCCGAGAGTAGAGGAGGCATGCAATGATTGCATCACCAATCGTTGCCAGGCCAGCGCTGCCATCTATCAGAGACCACGCTAAAACCGGCAATGTAATATCCAGGCTGTGATATTGCGGGGTGCAGGTCAAGTGGTTAACTGGTTTGTCTATCATCTTGCTCACCAACATCCTGGTGAACCCCCACAGCTCAAGGCAGCTCCAATAGCTATGGGAGCTACCTTGTTCAGCTTCCCGAACACACGTAATGATTTTGCAAAGCCGAAGGGTCTCTGGAAAAGCAATCGGATCCCTAATTTGGTGTCCCGGCAAAATAGAGTCATGTACGTCCGGGCCCTGTCTAGATTGGTCCGTCCCGGACGCCACTGTCCCGAGGGTAACCCTCGGTGCATGGTGTGAGCACCTACGCGCTGCTTTGAGGCAGGCACTCCACGGCATGCCGCTGTGTCGGAGTCCAGTTCATCCCGTCGATGTAGCTCCCTCATTTTAGAGGTACCCTGAGTTCTGTCAGGCCTCCACATACAATGAATGCAATTGGAAGGACGGCATCCTGACCTGTGTAGTCATTGCAAAATTGCAGGCAGTGATCTAATGTCTTCTTTGCTGGACTGCCCTGCTTAGACATCATAAAACACCATTGTCCTTATTTCGATGCTTTCCCTCCATGGATCATCGATGTGCCTTGGGTCTTCAAACGCCGAGTGCGGCGCCCGTCGCGCTACGCCCTGGGCCGAGTCGTAGCACTTGATCAAGAGAACTTCGTCGGGCCGCTGAGCGTACTTGAAATACCACCTGTGAGCGGCTGATGGCTTGACTGTCCAAGACTCGCGTTCATGGTCCGTGTATATGATTTTACCGGGCACCAAGTCCTCTTCTGCAATTGTTCTGGCGTCTGCCACTGCTAGAGGATCCTTGTAGACCGTCTTAATGGGCCGCCAAGCCTGTTGGCGGGCGGACGTATTAGCACCGGGGGCAATTAACTGACGAGAGTCCGATGATGGATGCTCTTACATTGATGATCTGCCACCGCCTCTTGAGCAGTTCGTCCGCCTCGTCAGGCAAAAGCCATCGCAACAACGACTCGGCGCCAGCATAGGACTGGTCGACATGGGTCCGCAAAATCGGTCCCCTTTTAGCTTGGTTTCCTGGTCCCATGTTGTGCCAGTTCGTTGGACCACGGCGGGTCTTGTGGTCCCACACGAAAACCCGAGAGGCACCGGTCCTAGTTGATCTAAGTCGTGATCTAGGAAAGTGGACCAGAAATTGGGAGCTTACACTTTCTTCAACAGCTGCTCCATTTCAGCGTAATATGCCACTTCGATGCTCTCCTTGTCGCGGTAGCCATCTTCTCGGCAACCGGATTGGTCCTCGTGGTGACATAACTCGAAGCCGCTGCCATCAAGCGTGAACATGGCCTCATGCCCAGTAATATCCCTTACGGTCACCGGAGTTGGTACGAGAGACCTTTTGTTAGTGACTGTTTCTCTGTGAATTAGGCGATGTGATTAGCGAACACTGCGCTGCTGTATGAGAAGGGCAGTGTGAAAGCAGAGCAACCATCCTTACTTTTGAACATATACCGGCTCAGGCAATGAGCCATCGCCTGGATCGTTGTAGTAATTCAAGGTTGTGGCCACCTCAACATCGCTGCCGCCACTCTCTGAGAGACTGGCTGAGTCCCTATGGGAATGCAATGCCGCAGACTCAGAGACGGTCTGGATCACGGTACTGGCAACAGCCATGCTGATCAGTCTTCCTCTCCTATGTCTGGCTGCCTTCTCGTCCAGCAGTAGGGTTGTTGGCTGCTACTTTCTCGCCAGGACTCTCCGAGTACGCGACTAAAGTGCAGTGCACACGTGATGAGATCGATCTTTCCCGAGACACTTCGTTTGGACATGAACTCGGCACAAGATGTGCCGCCGATAGAGTGCTGAATACCACGGTACCGGGAGGGCGGGCTGATCAACCCCGCTCTTGAACCATCCCTCGTCACCTGCGAGATCGGGTAGCGGGCGGAAGCCATGGCATCACAACGATTGGCCAGGTCTATTGCAGGCTGCAACAGTCCATGTGGAATGAACTCGATGAAGTGAGGCATTAGAAGATGAAGCGACTAGTTTTGGGGTTGAGAAAGACAATTGAGAACTACATAGCAGCAGTGTCCAATAACTTGTAGCGGCCGCACCAGAAGGCCCGCATCGGGTTCGCTTCGAGGCGCTGCGACATGTGCACGAGGGAACTAGGAACGATTGGACTTATTAAGAGTGTGCTCTAGAGACACCGGCTTGGTGATGACACCGGCAAAAAGTTACTTTTCGCCACTCTAGAACCCCCCTAACTAGCACCCTAGCCTACAAGGGTTAGTAAATATATTTCTAGCCCTCTAGTTGCCCCCCCCTAAATTGAAGCTATGCCGTCTTAGGTGTACCTATACACTACAATTTTTCTACCCTCCTCCTTTATTAGGAAGAAAACCTCTATAGTATATTTTATAACTTTGAATATAACGTACTTGCATAACGAGTTGCGCAGCATAACGAGTTGCGCACTTTTCTTGCACC